TACATCTATTTAAAGGTGCTATTAGTAACATATTTGTTTTGTTTATTAATTAAGATAAAAATACTTATACAAATTAAATTTTGGAAAAAAAAATAAAAAATGTGCATTATATAAAGCACCAATACACCTATGCCGATACACAAAGGTGTATTGATACTTTTAACCATGCCTGCAACAATAGTCTGGTGTGGATTATTCATTATCCACCAATTTCTCATCCATGTTACATAACAGCCCCCTAGAATGACCATACTTTTTTAATTTGGTATAAGGTTCTAAATATGGATGCAAGTAGATACATCCCATCCGATGTATCGGCTTGTATCTTTGGCCACTTTTAGTTTTGGTTTCAAATTGGTTTAGGGGGCGATATAAAATGCTTGCCTACCCCTTGAAATAGGTTGAACCCTAAAAATGGTTGTTGTAGGAATGTATCGGAGGGGTCACTGATATGATACGTACCTATTGATATGCTCTAATGTGTTGGGAAATTTTATTCATTGATTTGGTCGTGTAAAATGCAATTTGAATTTTGACTTATCACTTCATCTAATTATGTCTCATTAAAGTCATATTTTTAATGTGTTGACTTAAAGTCTTTGATTGAATCCTATGTTTAAGGTATTTTTTTATTTATCATCAATCAATAAATTCTACAATTTTACTAATACACAACTTTTGTGTGTAAAATAGACCTAAAAAATAAAGCCATTCTTTATGGTCAAAAGGTCAACCCATGAAGGAATAATAAATAAATAAAATATAAAACTAAAAAAAATGTAAAAATATTTGGGCACATGTCTAATATTGCATATTCATCATGTTAAACAAAATTAAGTATGGTAGGTAGAAAGTATTTTGTTAATGATGTAAATGAAATAGAAGATGTACAATGAGCATAAAATTTAAAGCATTTTTCTATTTAGGTGGTGGGTCAATGGATCAACCTTTTAGGTTAAATGGGTCAATCAATGATGTTATAATTAAATATAAAAAAATTAAAAGTCGTAGACATACTTTTTCCATTATAAAAAACACAAAAAAATAAAAAATGCATAAATTTTGTAGAAAAAAAAACATTTGGGTACATTTGTTTTTTTGCTCATCATACTAAACAAGAACAAGTGCGGAAGTGCCATAGGTAGGCGTTATTTTTTATTAATGGTGCAAAGTGGAATAAAAATAATTTTATCTATGAAATTAAACTATTTTTCCATATAAGTGGTGAACGAGCAATCCAGCTATTTTGGCAAAATGGGTTAACCAACGGTTTTTTAAACAAATAATTAAAATTTGATAGAAATACAAAAAATATATAAAAATCTGAAAAACATCAAATATTATATGTTATATTAAACAAATATAAGTGTGATGAACAAGAATCATTTTCATTATTAATTATAGAAATGGAATGGAAAATTTAAAGATATTCAAAAAATTATCATTTGTTTCCGTTAAAGTTAACTAGCTTAACCCATTATTCCTTTGTGCTAATGTCGGAACTACATCGTTGACAGCCGTCGACCCAATTACTCCTCTATGCGCAGTGGCCAAAGAGTATGGAGTTTGGGTTTACATCGACGCAGCATACGCTAGAAGTGCATGCATATGTCCTGAGTTCAGACACTTCATCAATGGGGTAGAGGATGCAAACTCGTTCGGTTTCAATGCACACAAGTGGTTCTTCACCACTCTCGATTGCTGCTGCCTTTGGGTCAAGGACCCTAGTCCCCTTGTTAAGGCCCTGTCAACTAGTCCTGAGTATTTGAGGAACAAAGCTACTGAATCAAAGCAAGTGATAGACTACAAAGACTGGCAAATAGCCCTCAGTCGTCGATTCCAAGCCATGAAGCTCTAGATGGTGCTTTGGAGCTATGGTGTGGCCAACCTAAGAAATTTCCTTCGGACCCACGTGAAAATGGCTAAGCACTTCGAAGATAAGGTAACCATGGACAAGAGGTTTGAAATTGTGGTGCCGAGGAATTTTGCGATGGTATGCTTCCAGCTGCTACCGCCGTCGGTGAAGGATCTTGAGGATGAGACGCTCAGGCAATCGTCGGAGTTGGAACGTGCAAACGAGATCAATCGTAAGTTGTTGGAGTCGATTAACTCGACTGGGCGCATATACATGATACATGCGGTGGTTGGGGGTGTTTACATGATCAGGTTCGCTGTTGGTGCAAGCCTTGCGGAGGACTGCCATGTGAACTTGGCATGGAAGGTAGTGCAGGAACATGCAGAGGCCATTCTCAAAGCGTGTTGATTAAGGTGGCGACCTGCGACCACCTCTCCGTATTCGTTGAATTGAGGGTTTAATTCAAATTTACGAAATTAAAGAGTAAGACCTAGGAAAAAAATAAAAGAAATTAATTACTTAGGTTCATTAATTTTGTTCGTATTCATCATTTGTAATTTTTTTTCTTAAATTTCTTTTGTATCTATTAAATCATTTACACTGAATTGTTTCTACTATGAAACTATCAAATTATTATTGATTTTACAACAACGGTTCTTAATACTCTCTCTCTCCATTTGTATGGCTGTTGGAGTAGGCCAGCGGAACTCAAAAGAATTTATCTTCGGTGGGTGGGTTACGAAAGGGGGCACAAGGGTTTCAATAATAGGAGAAAGAATACCCAGAATGGGAGAAGAAACCCTTTTGGACGATAAGGAATTAACGGACGTGATACAAACGGCGTGAAATAGAAACCGCAAGAATCATCCTAATGAGCGTGTGTCATGACACGCGTCACGCCTATGTTTTGTGGAATGTTTTTGTTTGGGAAGTGAGAGTGAGTAATTTGATAAATTTCATGAAAATAATAAATAAATTTGCATTCATTTTTTTAATATTAGTGAGTTTCACGGAAAAGAACAATTCATGAGTGGCTCATTTAGTTAGAGAAGTAATACTCTCATTATGCATGGGTAAATTAATACTCATCTGCATTTAAAATTGTTAATACACGACGGGACAATATTATCCTTTTAAATATGTCATTTTTTTGATAAAAACAGTCATTGTATGCATTTACTTGGAGAATAAAATAACAATGGTATGTGCTCTTATTCGGATAATTATTTTTCAATAAACATTTACATGGATAAGTACATTTACCCAGATAAGTCATTTACTAAGATACAGGCAAGGTTTGAAAAGTATAGAATACCTCATTGTGTTGAGTGAAACTTGAATCCTACTTTTTATATGATGTGGAAAGACACAATACAGGAATTCAAATTTAATCTTCACAATTTTATCCTTGCACCATAATTACAACACTTGCAATCATGCATTGTGAACATCTCCCATAAATGTAAACATATAAGTACATAGATGTTCTAAATGAAGAGTATATAAGTGTTGTGAGGACTTAATCCAACCTTTGATACAAGAAAGGCTTTCAGCCTTTGACCAATCAAAACTCAGTGAATTTTGATGAAAGCCCGCCTGATTGGTCTTTTGACTTTTATTATAACGCCTGTTGCTTTTTTTGGTATTGAAACACGCACCTTTGCGAACTGCATTTCAATTTTCCTTGACATATATTACAATACTTTTCTAGCAACCTTAATAATTATTCTCAAATGTGGGGAGAATCGTTAGTGGGGCAACCACATATTGCCTGGAATTACCAAGTTTACATGCCAATCAGCCACCACTTAGTTGGCACATCTGTTGCTTGGTTGCAATTTTCCTTGCCCCTCGGTGTACCTTGTAATTGGTCAATGTAAAGTCAATTCAAACAACTTTTGCAACCTTGCATTGGGAATATTTTTGTACTTATGCACTTTATTTCATGGAGAGATATTCTCAATGCAAGATTGCAAGAGGTTGTTCGAACAATATGAGCAAACAAATGAAGCTCTACCTGTTCTATCAAACCAAACAATGAACACAAGGTAAAAGAATGGTATCCAATAAGAAATGGCAAATTTCTTAAATTACCCTTAAGATTTATCTAATTAAGTAGCTCTACCTTTATTGTTTACATATTGTCTTAAATTGTCTTAAAGTATGATTAAGTTTTTTGACAATTATTTAAAACTTCCCTTATTCCCTTATTGTTAGCTTTCCATCACACATAACATTAGTGACCGTTGTTTTTTTTCAAAAATTCTAAAAATACCCTCCTACCTCTGTTTAGATGATTGTTAGTCACACTCGCTGCCGTAGGTTCAGCGGTTAGTAGGGAGAGACTTCATTGCTTTTTGAAGTTTGAAGAAGGAGGGCAGGTAGATGGGTTCACGTGTGGACTGATCCGGTGAAAAAACTAGGAGTAACTCTTGTTGAAGAGGAACTGAGGGAGAGATCTGTGCAGGTGGAGGCCGATTCATCTCTGTTGCTTGTAATGATTGAATCACCGCATTCATTGTTTTGGTTGCAGAGAAACTGGGCTCCCTTTGAACATAAAACACCTTAACAACCGCATCCATTGAAGGTGATTTATGTTTCGTACTTTACCGATGGTTGTGGATTTAAATCTCTAATTAATCGAAAAGAGAATTTCAAAGGCAACCGCATCAAGCTATTTCTCTCTTTCGAAATACATAAGGTAACGGACATTCTCTCTTTATATTCTCATCTGTTGTTTGTAGGGTTTCTTGGAGGCAAAAATGGTGTTTCAGATCTGCAGCTGCTTCTTTTTTTTTTTTTCTTCACCGATTTTGTAGCCCATCACCTCCCTTTTCCTCTCACCACTCACCATCATGTGCAATTAAAATATTCAAAGACCATTGATGTTTTTTGAATCCAAACAAGTTAGTCTTTTTGAATCGCTGGTTGTTTTTATTTTGAAAATTGAAGGGAAATTAAAGGGTAAAATAGTCATTTTAGTTTTCATTTAAACGGTAACCAATGACTGTCAATTGTTATAAAACTTAGGGTTTCTTTTAAGTTAATTTCTAAACAATAAGGGTGAATAAGTCAATTTGCTAAACTTAGGAGAGATACTTTAAAAAGTTTACCCATTAAGAAATTAAGTATAAAAGGAGTTGGGCGAATTGCTGGCTAGGGTTTCTTTTTCTTTTGGGCGCTAGTGGACTCGGGGCGATTTTCTCCGCTCTACCTACAAAAAGTTCAAGTATCAAATTCTTTCTTTCCCTCCTTCAAAGGCATAACACCATGTACGGATCCAGAGGGTAAGTCGACAGATCCTTATTTTTTTTCTGCTTTTATCGGTTCTGTTCTCTGCCTGTTATTTATTTTCTCATTCCTGTTTCCTTTGATTGCTTTGTATGAGGTAGGAGCGTAATTTGCAGGATTTTAATGGTGTTTGTATGGTTTTAAGTGACTGTATTGGCTGTTGTGTGAACCCTAATCACTACCAGCTTATTGTTGGCCAGATTAGATAATAGATGAATGCTCATTTGTTTTACCATAAGGGGAATTGACGATTTTAATCCTGGAAGGCTATTCGAATAATTAGGAGGGTTTTCCCGTTAAAGCCAGGAAAAAATCGTATTTTATGCTTACGATCATGCGTGATTTATTGGTGCAAAGCATCAAAGATGTCACCGGAATCCTAATATATCAACAAGTGTAATGGAATAGGACATAGTTCTAACCTTGTATGCTGGACTTGTTATTTCTTCTTGCGGCTAGTTGCCTTTTGTATCCTCCTTCCCTCCTCCCTCAACTCTCTAACCAACTCGTTTCTCCCCCTTTTCCAATGCCTTATTCTGCACTGCCATGATCCCTACAGGAGTGCAGGTGATCTCTACTGCCAAAACCTATCAGGGGAACTGGAGGTCGGGGGAGGGTGAAGATTGTGCTGATTAGATTTCCTACCACCTAAGAGAAATTGTAACTATGGCAAGCCAAGAGTTAAGGTGAACTTGAGGATAATTAAGATCTTAGCCCAAGTCAATCATGATGAATATAATGGCGACTATTCTAGTTGCTGCTAAGGATTAATTGCTAAGACACGGTTGAGATCAAAGGCAAAAGGCATGTAAGAAGTTGAATGTTGCTCCAGTTCTAGGCATGGAGAACATAGGGAATGTTGTGCGAAGGGAGATGTTGAAGAAATGGCGCAGATGGATAGGTGGGAGATTGAGATATGGAAGATGAAGTTGAGTGTGAAGGTGTGAATGATTGATAATCTCTACTTGTACATCACGTCATCCAAAAATGAAGCAAGGGAAGTCCTTAATGGGTTGCCTTAGAGAGTGAAAGGTGTGAAGTTACTTCTTGATTGCTGGTGCACCTAATAGTCCAGATGATTTGAGGATTATTTGGAGGACATTTTGTTTTTGTTTTTTGGTTTTTTTAACTATTGTGGTGTCCAAACATAATTAAGTGATAGGGGAAACGATTCAGTCTAAACTAAAAAGCTGGAAGACGGTAGTGATGTGTTTGATGTGGGGGTTTTGTTGTAGTCAAGGAAAATCTCAAGATTACAAGTCCTTGTGGAAAGTGACATGTTGTTAGGGGTTGTAGAGGTGATGGGTCTTCACCTGAGATGTAGTAGATGGAGGATGAAAGTCAACATGCTCAAGAGGGATTAGTGTGGCATGAAGAACAAGGTGATGCGGAAGCATGGGAAGTTGTTAATTAACATTTTAATAGTATTATGGGAATTGATCATGATTGCCAGGATCCATTAAAATGAAAAATTTGTGGATGGTTTGTTGGGTAGATTTCTGGTTCCTAGTTGAGAAGCATTATTAAAGAATGTTTTGTTGGATTGGAAATGGACATTTTAGATCAACCCACTTGTAGTTAGGATGAACATGGGGATTTAGCGAAGATCTGATTGTGAAGGAGCCACATGGGGAACAAAGAGGACAGTTAAGGTAGATGGATGGATGATTGATCTATAAGAGACATGATTTGAGTCAATGTCATCGAGTTTGAGGAGTTGTGTTATATATTATAACTCAATTACTGTTTTTGAAGAAGTGCTGTATTATAAATTTGCATAAATCTTAGTCCATGTACATCAAGGAGCTACTTGTAGAAAAAGTACATTACTGAGCTAGTTGTTGGGGATATATAAGATAAGAATGATTTATATTCCAGTTTACAAAAATAAAAAAACATTTCAAATCACCTTCAAAGCATGCTTTGTTTTCAAACCTTCTTAGCACATCATCTTCAAAGCATGCTTTGTTTTCAAATCATAGTCCATGTGACCCAAATTATTGCAGCATGACACGTTCCCATTGTAACTTGCCTCTCTTGTTGAGTTAGAGGTCAAACTCTGAATAGTGACACTACTAGGTCAGGAAAGCACCCATGTACTCTAACGTATTGTAGTACAGCTGACTATTTACTTCGATTTGAACTTGTAATGGAAAGAGATATGATTTGTTGATTCTAAATCTGTTGCTACAATGTACACAAACAATCATCCAGGTTCATCTCCCTTCTTAGCAAAGTATATAAGACGGTTATAGGGCCAACAATGTTGTATGGGGCAGAGTAGTGGGCAGGGAAGAAGCAATATATCCAAAAAAGGACATGACAGAAATACAAACTTTTAGATGGATGGGTGGAAACTCTGGAAGGATGGGATAAAAAACGAATTTATATGAAAGAACATTAGAGTAGTTCCCAATTTCCCATATCAATATGTGAAGAAACATGTCCAAAAAATGAGTGTGGCAGAAATGTGTATATGCTGAGATGGATGAATGGAAAAACTACAAAGGATAGGGTCAGAAATGAAGTCATTTGAACTTTGAAGGAACCTAGGGAGTAGCTCAATAATAAGTGATGAAATGAGAGAAGGTAGATTATGATGGTTTGCTTATGTGCAAAGAACACCATTGACAGCACCTGTGAGAAGTGATTTAAGTGCTCATAATTTATCAATGAACGTGGAATTAGACAGAATAGAATGGTGAAACGTGATTCATGTAACCAGCTCCATATAGTTGGGATAAGGTAGCAAATGTCAGAAATATGGTGGATATTGTAATAATGCTGTCTCCCAATGAAGATAAATCTCTGGGTAATGGTGGTTTCACAATGTTGTTTTGTAAGAATTATTGGGATGTGGTGAAGTAGTATGTACTAAAGGGATTGGAAAATTTTTATAAAAATCATCTTTTGGAAGAAGCCTGAATGTGACTTTCATTACTCCCAATTCCTGAGATAGTTGTTGCGGTGCTACTGAAAATTTTTAGGCGAATTACTACAATTGGAATATTTTTTAAAGATTCTGGTAGTTCTTTCTTTCAGAATGACATTGTGACAGACCTTAGTCTCAGGGTGCATGCCAGTAGGTAGATGTTGGATGATGTTCTCATGGCTAAAAATTGATTGGTTCAAGAATCTTCATAAGATCTTATTCTATTCAGAATTGGTATATAAAAGGCTTATGATCATGTAAACAGGAAGGATGAATTCCAGGCTAAATGGGGTGGATGTGGAAGAGTGTTTATTATCTGCTCCTGAATTCTCTGTTCTCCTCAATGGGACTCACTGGTTTTCTTCAAGAGCTCTTGAGGGATTCAGTAGGGTAGAGGGGTGGTGGCTTTTGCTAGGCAACAACAAAAGTGGCTTTCTTGGAGGTTTCAGGGTTGGTGCTGGTTTTGAGAAGGTGGAGGTTCTCCATTTAGAAGATGACACAATCATTGTTTTAATTGATGCTTCTTGAAAACAATTAAAATACTTGATAAGGATTCTACAATGGATTAATGGTTTTACCAATTCAAAACTAGGGATCAAATGCAGCATTGTCTATTTGGGACAGTCATGGAGAAGTTGGAGAGGTAAATGTTCCCCATGTAAAGGAGGGAAGGCAACACAGATTTTAAGTATGCTAGCAAATCTCAGATTATTATCTTTGTCCCCCAGTTTATGAAATAACAATAAGATTTGTAAATGCTCAAAGGTATTTCTCATGGAAGGATTTTGTTGATTGTTGTCCAGTTCTTATTCTGCATATAGGAGGTTGTTTGTTGTGTTGGGCTTGCTAAGCTAACATAAAACATCTAAAAATACTTGACAAAATTTATCTTTGTCACTAATAGGATTGTGAGTTTTTCTTTTGTTAAAACAATTAGTTTTCCTGTTTTTAATCTGGCTTTTTGATGTCTTTCTTTTACAGATGTTAAATTTGTTTTTTAACATACCTAACAAAAAACTATCATCACTGATTAGATTTTAATTTTTTTTGCCTAAAATAATTGATTTTCTTGTTTATATTCTGGCCTTTGATGCCTATACTTTCAGATGTTAAATTTGTTTTTTCAATTTGGGCTTTTTACTCTTTCATTTTAAGTGAAGTCTATGCATATGATGTCTTACACTTGATCTCTGAACTTAAGGTAAGTTCATGTGTTGACAAGTACATATTGCTGATGCTTTTACTTTGGCCTAGTCATTAACTTTGGCTAGTGACCGGAGTGCATACTGTTTAGTTAGTTTTGCCATTATACCTTACCTTTTCAAAATTTTTCCCTTGTCACTATTTATTTGTTTTGGCCTCGAATAAGCTAAGATAGCTTGGACCTAGATTTCAGCCCAGCTAAAGTACTTAAAAGCTTTGGTGCTACCGCAATGGCATAAATTACATATTATGTTGATCAAAGTCCATGGTTTTTCAAAGAAACAGGGATGACTATCACCTGTTGGGTTACCTTTTTTTATTTGTAGTAATGTTTGTATAATGTTTTCTTAGCCTTTGACGATATAAAAAATATAAACTACTAAGGTTTTTGAATGTAAGCAATAGATACTACGTAGTTTGTGTTAAATATATGTTTTTCCATGTATTTTTCTTATTGCTATTGCTACTTTGTCCTCTTTTTATAGTCAATTTTGTAAATTTGATCATGTTGAGTTTCCATGAACGGTCTGACACACCATAGTGTGAAAATAATAGATCTGAATGCACCTAAGTGACAATATTTTTGAACAAGTTCCATGGTTTGGTACATTATTCCCATGCAAGGGACCGAGTTGAAGTATAGTGTCAAACCAATAGGTGTAACTTTTAAGTTCTGTAGGGGTGAACTCAATGGAGTCATTGTAGTGATCCTTGTACTGTTAAAAAATATGCTAGATGTTCTAAATTGGGTAAATTTAGTTTTCATGGTTGCCCAAGGGGTTCATTTACTTTTGGACATACCTCGTTTGCCTTGTTCTTCATTTTTGGACAAATTAGAGTGGAATTTGCCTAGGTTCTTTCATTCAAATGCGTCAGTTTTTTTGAGCTCACAATCGTTGTGACCATTGCCAAGTCATTATTTCCGTTTTCCAGTAAAGCATAGACAAACATCCTGTTAAATATTTTTGAATGAAGGAAGCTTTCCATTTAAAAGTGGCCATAGCCATGGAAAAGGGAAATGTTTTATTGGGTGGTTATAAGAAAATGCTGAAAAATGGTTGCAGCAGATGTGAACTCATTTTTCTTTACCTCCTTAACATAGACTGATTTGGTTATTCTGGTGATGTGGCTTTTAGTGAGAGCTCCCACTCTTAAACCTGATTTTTTAGTGTCTATCTACAATGATCTTGTGGTGAACTTAGCAAACCTACTAATTGCACCCTTTGCTTACTTAATAGCAGATAATCTGTGTATTTCTTTGCTGACCTCTCCGTATTAAGTGTGTAAATTGTAACATAGATTAGCTTGGAACATTTGAGTGTCATATAAACTCAGTTTGTTAAAACTATCATCTTGTGTTCAATACTTCATGCTTTTGTTGAATTATGTTGTGTTATAGCCACTTATCCATGTGTATATACTTTATACTGCAAATATTATTATGGGTACTTGTTAGGAAACATGGCATGATTGCTCTAACCTTAAGCCCAAAAATGGTGTGCCCTGCCTCCATGTACTTCTTGATTGGAGTTGTTCAATTAAAAGGCCACCTTTTGGATGGTTTACAGGCAAAATAGGTGTTCTGTTGATTCACCTGCCAAAGCATGCCACTTGGGTGGCTATGAGAATTTCATCCAATAGGTGTTCTGTTGGTTGGACACTTTTTATGTCTATATTGCAGGCTGGGGGATTGAGGTCCCACCATTCTTTGGGAGGCTTAAACATGCTGTATTTCTTTCTTTTACATTGCTTGGTTTATGGGTCATTTTGGTATACATTCCCATGCGGGATGGTAAAATGCTTTAGAATGGTAGATGACGAAAGTAGTCAGAAAATGGTGGGTCGGGTCTGGTTTTATTAACAAGGTTGAGTGTGGGGAATGTTTTCTTTGGGATTGAATAAATGAAGGGCAATGTTTGGGAGCGGGGGGGTTTCGGACGGGTACGAGGTCGGCTCAAAGAGACAAAGAATGATCGAATCGAATCCCTACTTCGCAGTGAGCGGAAGTGCCGGCGGTTACCAGCCTTACAGTTATGGTGGTGGGTTTCACCCCATCTTTCCTGTGGTTCGTCTCCGAGGACTACCATTCAACTGTACGGACATGGACATATTCAAGTTCTTTGCTGGGCTTGATATTGTGGATGCACTTCTGGTCAACAAAAATGGACGGTTCTCAGGGGAGGCTTTTGTTGTCTTTGCAAGCCCAATGCAGGCTGACTTTGCACTCCAGAGAGATCGCCAAAACATGGGTCGTAGGTATGTGGAGGTATTTAGATGCAAGAAACAGGACTACTACAATGCGGTAGCTGCTGAGGTGAGCTATGAAGGAATTCTTGACAACGATTACCATGGCAGCCCCCCTCCGTCACGATCAAAGAGGTCCATCGACAAGGATCAGTTAGAGTACACTGCGGTTCTAAAGCTACGAGGTCTACCGTTCTCTGTGACCAAGTCGGAGATTATAGACTTCTTTGAAGAGTTTGATTTGACAGAAGACAAGATACACATCGCATGCCGCCCAGATGGGAAGGCTACTGGTGAGGCGTACGTGGAGTTCATTTCAGCTGATGAGGCCAAGAAAGCCATGAGCAAGGACAAGATGACTATTGGGTCTCGGTATGTGGAATTGTTTCCTTCAACACCCGAAGAGGAAAGGCGAGCTGAATCAAGATCAAGGCATTTGGTTGGTCATTAATGTGGCTGCTTGTCTGCTTGATGATGTTTCTTTTTTTTTGGTGTAGTACTGGCTGTTTAACTTCATGCTGGTTCGATGTCAACTACTTTTGCTAGGGGACCCCAATTTGGTTTCTAACTTTCTATCAGGTTCTTTTATTTGAATATTTAGTTCTGGTTGTTTAATATATTCCTTCTAATGTTATAATGTAGACAATTTATCAAAATTGTGGCTTTTATTATTATGTTATTATTGATGTCAGCTGCATTTCGTCCTAGAAACTTGGGTTTTTGCCGGTTGCACTCCCAGATCGTGTCAATTTTTTTAGTTTACCTGGCTGGTCGACCCGTCGCTCAGATTGTAAACCATGAAGTTCATTATCTAATTCGTTCTTAGAAAAACAGTGATCTGTATTGGGCTTATGGGTGTGTTTTTTCTGAAAGACGAGTTCATTTTTTTTGGAAAGCAAAGATGTGCTTTTCTCTCAAGTCAGAAACCCGTCAAAGTCATTGAAAGGGTTGTTTCCCCTTGGTAAACCATATTGACAAAAGTGATCCATATACAATAAAGTACTCGGAAAATTCAAATTGAATGAGTTCAATTATAGAATTCAGTATTTTCAATCCACCTGGTTGGTTATTCATCGTGTCACCCAGATGGGATAATCTCATAGTTGTAAGTGAAACCGACAAGGATCGGGTCAAGGTTCAAAATATTGACACGCCAGGCGTATCGGGCATTTTGATACTTGTTTTTTTATTTTTATTTTTTTTTTCAAAACTGGTTCAGGGGAGTCAGTTTAGGACTCCTCCATCCCCTGAATCGGTCGGACCCCCGATACATCCACTGTAGGGGCGTATCGGAAGGGTCCCAGAATGATACGTATCGGCCGATACGGGCTGATACATAATGATACTTTGAACCTTGGATTCTCAACTCAATTAAATTAAATTGGGCATTATTCTTTGAACTTTGAACTAATGTAATTGGTTATTATATAAGTGTACATTTTTTTCTTTTCATCCTATTTTCACTCTTCATTTCTTCCTAATCCACTAGTTTTCTTCTACACCAACTCAACCATACAACCAGGACTCTATAATTAAAAGAATCCAATCTACCAATTCCAAAGAAAGTCAGAAATCCATATTGATTAACAACTAGATGTTTTACTTCTAATTGGGTTTCTAATGTTTGTTTGATTGAATTTCTAGGCTGTTGTATAATATTGTTTGGAATGTAACCTGAAGATAGACAACTGTAATATATTGATTCATTGCATGAACACTTTGAATGTAGATATTTGTGTTGGCAAGTTTTCATTGGATTTTTAGGCTACTATATACATTGATTCAACCAAAGCAATCAAAACACTTTGAATACAGATATCAGCATTTGGTAAGTGTTCATTCTACTTTAAATACTGGCATATTTCAACAATATAAGTTAAATGGATTATTTGAATATGATTTTATCCTCTTTTGGCCTCTGTTGTTTCTGACAAATAATCACTATATGAGTTTATTAAGACAAATAATTATTATATTATTGTGTTAAGACTCAATCTATTACGTGACTTGGGTAGACTTTGTAGAGTAGCAGAGATCACCTATATAATCACAACCATACTCACAAGGAGGGATAGGCATATCAATATCTGTATTCAAAGTGCTCTGGTTGCTTTAGTTGAGTTAGTACAGAAGAGAGGATGAGGAAGAGATAAAGGGTGAAAATAGGATGAAAAGAAAAAGATGTACAATTCAAGGATCCTTTAGCTATACAAATTAAAAGATAAATAACAAAATTGTTAGCCTAGCGATGGGCTCTATTAAGTAAACCACTCGTGAAAGGACCACCGCATGTGCAAAAAAATGTGGTGATCAGTCATTGGGTCTACAACAAAGTCATTAGCTGCAAGTCTACAGCAGTTCCTGGTTCTGCAATAGGTCCAAACCCCAACCCAGATTTCCTGCCCACTCTCTCTACTCACAGTAAATTGAGGCCACACATCTCACAATACAAAATGGTGAATGTGACTACAATCAAGGTAGGTAGAGTATGGGTAGAGAGTTGTGGGCAGGAAATCCAGAATGCCCAAACCCCGTGTAGAGAGTGAAAAGTCATCGAGGCCATACACTAGGGCCCCTGGGTAGAGAGTTGTGGCCATACATTTGGCCATAGGGCAAACTTTGACATCTGGTATAGTGATTTAAGCCCACTTTCAAGTAAGTTTGTATTTGTGAAACTAAGGCTTAGTTTGGAAAGAGTACAAATACAAATATATACAGTACAAATAGGTATAAAATATAAGATTTTGCACTCTACATATTTATATTTATACTCCTTTCAAACTGAGTCTAATGGACTTCAATAACATAGAGTGCTGTTATTAGATAAGTTAACTACTATAGAGTAATTGTCACCATTTTTTAATTATTTTAATTCAAAAAATGTAAATTATTTTTTATTGAACCACGAACAATTGTCGAGATAGAATGGTTCCACGTTTTGACAGTTTGGGTCATTGGTTTGCTGACCAATTCAACGATTTTTTTTTTTCTTTTAACAAAAGAATGAGTTAGGGAAAAAATGGAATTGAATAGACGACCAATTTCTAGGCCAAATGATTGACTGCCCGGGTCAAATAATATGTTCATAGCCAAAAAAAGTATTACTATTCCAATATTGAAAAATTTAACATCTACCATTAAAACCTCCAATATTATTTAATGTTAGATTAATTTTCATTAAAATCTTATTTTTTCATCATTCATCATCACCATCCATGCCTTATCCCAGGATTGAGCACATGAATCCTGTTTTACAAATCCGTTCTAATGAACGTATTACCTGGCTTCTAAAAATCAACGTATCTACCTTGTTTTTTCATCATTATTGTACACTGTTGTTTTAAAATTGACAATTGTCTCCAATTCCTTGTATATTTTGTATTGGCAACTTACAAAAAAAATACCAGTAAGATAGGGATAGATATTTTGAACCTATCTATTTTTCTATTTCTATAATAAGGTGAAGGGGGTACAACCTTGTGAAGAGAATGAGATGCTGCCACGTGGAGGATGCGAATCGCCGAACCAACACGATTATTTCATTTTTTATAAGACGGTTTATTGATATCGAAAGTGTCAGGATTGCACACAAACAAGTTGCTGAAATTCCTCTTTAAAATAGAAAAGAACATAAGCCCCGTTCCGCCTGGTTCTCCCACACCATTCGCAGAGTTCCAGTCCCTTAAAATTTTAATTGCAGATATGGAGTCCTTACTTACGTCCTCTCCAGTATATTTAATGGTAAAACTACAGGCTGTTCAACTCAAGCCTCCACGCAGATTTGAGTTGACAAGAATCTCGTCGAACCCCGTTAGTGTTGCTGCCCTGGCTCGATCGAGTTTAGGCCCTTCCCATAGAAAACCACCCAAAAATCTCCGTTACCCGCGGCGTGCAAAGCTTCCACCGGACCCGAAGATTAACATTTTTTTGAAGAAGAATAGTCCTAGCGACACGGACTCACCTCAAATGCATTCGGATTGCTACGTGAGGCCTGAATCATCTGATAATGATGATAGTGCTGCTACCACTGATGGTTTGTTGTGGAGCCCGGATGAGATTGAAGCAATTTCATCTCTTTTCCAAGGTAGAATTCCTCAAAAACCTGGGAATCTATACAGGGAGAGGCCTCTTCCACTCCCACTTCCTTACAAACTTCGACCTTTGGGACTGCCTTCATCTAAGAAACATGTGAGAACAGTCTCCCCGACTTCGATTTCATCGAGGTTTTCCTTGTGCAAGCAAGTATATAAGAACCCACAGTTTCTTATCTCTGTAGCCAGAGAAATCAGGAGCCTTCCTTCAGAGAAAGATGCGTCTGACGTTCTGGACAAGTGGGCTCGGTTCCTTAGGAAAGGGTCGCTCTCCTTAACAATTCGGGAATTGGGTCATTTTGGTCTACCTGAAAGAGCTCTACAGACCTTTTGCTGGGCTCAGAAACAACCCCATCTCTTCCCAGATGATAGGATACTCGCTTCGACGGTTGAAATCCTTGCAAGGACCCATAATTTGAAAAAGCCATTTGACTTGGAGAAGTTTACAACGTCGGCCACTCGGAGTGTGATTGAAGCAATGGCAAGGGGATTCATAAGCAGCGGCAGTTTAAATCTTGCTCGTAAGCTCCTCCTGGTTGCCAGGGATAACAAAAGAACATTGGACGTTAGCATTCATGCCAAGCTGATATTGGAGATTGGAAAGAATCCAGACAAATACAAACTTGTATGTGCTTTATTAGACGAGCTTGGAGAGAGAGATGACCTGGATTTGGATCAGCAGGACTGTACAGCAGTCATGAAAGTTTGTATCAGGCTTGGAAGATTCGACATTGTGGAGAGTCTGTTTAACTGGTTCAAGGATTCTGGGCGTGAACTGAGTGTTGTTATGTACACTACTTTGATTTACAGCAGGTATTCTGAGAAGAAATATAGGGAGGCTCTTGCTGTAGTTTGGGAAATGGAAGAATCTGAATGTGTCTTTGATCTTCCCGCATATCGTGTGGTGATAGGGCTATTTGTGGCTTTGAATGATATCTCGAGAGCCATAAGATACTTTTCAAAACTCAAGGAGGCAGGGTTCACTCCAACATATGACATTTACCGAAACATGATCAAGATATATGCAGCTTGTGGAAGGTCGGCCAAGTGTAAGGAGGTCTACAAGGAGGCAGAGACGGCGGGATACAAATTTGATAAACAGATTGTTTCTCTTTTGTTGCAGGTGGAAGGAGCAGTCTGAGCCTGTTTCTTGGAAATTTCATTAACAGGAAGTAATTAGTTTACAACAGGCATGCTTCTTGTTTGACTCATTTCCAAAATACTGAGAAAATTACCTGCCTTCTTTTTAGTTCCACTAGTTTTAGGCTTTTAGCCATCCATGGACAGACATGAATAATTCATTCAAAAGTCTGCTATCAGTGAGGCAAAAAACATTACATTTAATAGTCCTGGGCTAACTCTCTGGATGTTGAACAAGCATCAGTGCATCACTCATCTGTATCATGTGAGGGGCATTTTGTTGTCAATAGTAAATGGTCTTGCCTCTACATGAGAAAGCAGCTGGCTAAGAAAATTGACCTAATAGTTGTGCTTAGTCCTGTACACAATTTTTAGTCTTATTAAATATATATATAAATATGAACAGGTCAATCGTATTCATTTGATCATGTAAACTTCTCAATCTGGAATAATCCTATCCATCCCATAAAAAATCAGGTTCAGAAGAGGGTGATTTCAGTACAGACTCGATTCAAGAAGTGTGGTGCAAGGGCCAGTATAGGAGTAATAGCATTGATGTGTATCATATCATATTATTTGACTTCCATGGTGGGTTGACTGCATGTACTGCCATAGCTAAGTGATTTGTAGGGCCATTTACTGCCGTAAAATATTGATTCATAAGTTATTGTGGATTGACTGCGTTCCAGTGCTGTAAGCAATCAACTATGACAGAATAGTTCATTAGTTCTTATCTGTTGGTTAATGCTGTTCAGCTGCCCCAATATCTTTCTGATTTCAGGGTGTGAAAAGTCTCCCACTGTAAACTCATGAACTTGATCTCTGATGACCAACCAACTATTTCCTGGATCCTTCTTAACTCCAGCTTTTGCCATTTTCTGCCTCAACTCCAGAGCTTCTTCCCATCTTCCAGCCCTGGAGTAAAGATTTGATAGAAGAACATAAGAAGCATGATCATTTGGCTCCAGTTCCATTATCCTTCTTGCTGATTTCTCTCCTATCTTCAGGTTGCCATAAATCCTACAAGCACTAAGTAATGTTCTCCATGCCGACAGACATACTTTATTTTGAAGGGTCAGGTATGCCTCCTCAAGCCTTCCAGCACGACCAAATACATCAACTAAGCAGGAATAATGCTCTGATTCTGGCTCCATACCATATTTCTGCTGCATCAAATTGAAGAAGAATAAGCTCTGCTCAACAAGACCAACATGGCTACAAGCTGACAGAACTGCCAAGAAGGTGATTGTGTTTGGAATTATGCCCATCTTTTCCATTATGTTGAATGTTTCAATTGCCTCCCAGGCTTTTCCATGCTGTGCAAATCCTGATAACAAAGCATTGGAAGATACCACATTTACATCTTTTTGTTCATTGAAAGCTCTTACAGAGTCCTCCATATTACCGCACTTTGCATACATGTCTACCACAGAGCTTTGGACATAGATGTCTTTATCAAAACCAAGTTTAATGGCAGATGAATGGAACTGCTTTCCCATATCGATAACTGCCAAACCAGAGCAAGCTGTAAGGCAAGATGGGATACTAAAACTACTTAGATATATCCCAGCAGACAACATTTCTTTGCAGAGCTTAATAGCTTCTAAGTCAATCCCGTTTTGCACGTAGTTTCCAATGATGGAACTCCACGAGACTTCATCTCTTTGAACCATGGTGTCAAAGGCTCTTCGAGCATTGTCAACTTCCCCACACTTGGCATACATGTTGATCACAGCATTCACAACAGAAATTTCGTAACCTCTGCTCAGTTTAACAATTTCAGTGTGGATTTGAAGACCAATACCCAAATCTACTTTACTTCGACAAGATTTCAAAATTGCAATTAGAGTGGGTTCATCAGGCTTGAAAGTAGTACATTGGCGAAGTTCACGGTAGAGTTTAATGCAGTGGAGAGAAGATCCCTCTTCCATTTGAGCATAACCCGTCATCATAGAATTCCAAGAAACAAGGTCCCTGTCAGAAATCCTTTTGAAAACTTTTTCTGCATCATCCATATGGTTGAAGTCTGTATAAAGAATTAAAAGAACACTACCCACAAAACAGTCTCTCTGGTACCCATTCTTTATCATCTGGGTATGGATTTGAATTCCTGTTTTTAGATCTCCAATCTCAACACAAGCTTTAAGAGCGCTTGACAAAGCATGCTGGTCAGGCTTCAGACCTTCCGTACACATATCCTTAAACAAAATTATAGCTTCCCCTCCACTGCCATTTCTTGCATAGCCAGATATTATCGAACTCCAAACAAAACTGTCTTTTCTAGTCATTGCACCGAGAACTTTTTGCCCTGACTGCATACTGCCGCACTTACCATACACATCCACTAGAGCACTTCCAACAACGACGTCAAGTTCAGTTCCAGATTTCAAAATAAGCCCATGGATTTGGTCCACATCTCTTAAGCAATGACAACACTTGAGCAAAGTTGTAAATGTAAAATCATTTGGTTTCAACTGGTCAATTAGCTGCATTTTTGAGAACAAACTGAGAACTTTACTAGAATCACCGACCTGAGCAAACCCAGAGATCATAACATTCCAGGTAACTGAATCTCTTCTACATAACCCATTGAAAACACGGCAAGCATCATGAAGACTACTGCCGATTTTAAAGTACATATCGACAAGAGAACTCCCTGCAAACTCATCCCTCTCAAGGCCGAAATGGACGATCAATCCATGAACTTGCAGACCCAATTCCATAAAACTGAGATTTGTACATGCTCGAATAACTACAGAAAGAGTAAACTGGTTTGGTTTTTCACCGGCTTGAAGCATTTCTTCGAACAACCGGAGTGCTGTTCGGGATAACCCGTGATGAGCGTAAGCAGAAATCATGGATGTCCATGTCACGACGTTCTTCTGTGGGGCATGATCGAACACTAGGTGCGCATGGTGTAAATCCGCGCACCTTGAGTAGAAGTTCAAGAGTGTGTTTGTCGTGTGGATCTTGGAAGTGGAGTGTGAGACTATCAGCTTTGCATGTATTTGTTTGCATTTTGTAATTGATTTTGATTTTGAAAGTTTCTCAAGTATCAGAGACATCGTTTCTGCGACGTCGGTGTAATCAGCACCGGTATTGCTGTGATTTCGCTGGCGAAAGAATCCGACGATCGAACGACGGAACATTCCGATCAGACGGCCGATGTGTCATCTCGGCGTCGAGGAACTTGAAAGAAAGAAGAAATTACTACAAATATAAAAGGATGACTCGGGAGTCGGGACTATAGCGGCTAATGTTAGGCTGTTAGCTAGCTGGATACCCTAAGGCTGTGTTTGGTTTGAAAGAAAAAGTATGGAAGGGAAGGGAAGGTAGGGAAATACCTTTCTCTACCATTTCCTTCAAACCAAACATAGCCTAAAGTTTTAGAGGTGCAAATATACAAACAACGCTAGCCATCCATTTCACAGTTTGTGTCTCACACTCACACTCACCAATCTCAGTTATACGGGAATTTTCAAAAACTATGTGCACATTTAGGCTTCCTTTCGTTTACGGAATAGGGGTCTGAAATCGAAATTGGAGTGGACTATTCAGATTCCAAAAATTTGGTTGAGCGGAATCAGAATTCCATCCCATTTTTACTGGAATAATATTCCCCCATTTAAGAAAATGGCTATTCCCTGTTTCTTTTTTAAGAATGAAATTTTATTCCTGTTGATGCTAATTCTTATCCCCAGTTCTATCTAAACCAAACAGATTATGGGAATAAATTATTTCAATTTCTATTCGATTCCAATTACAGACCCTTATATATATATATATAAACAACAATGGCATGGTGTGCCTAGCTAGAGGTCTGGCACTAGGCACCGGCACTGGATTTAATATGGCCCAGCCTGAGATAGTGAGATGATACCATTCCTCTCTGGATCATATGTTTGTGGACCCCAAGAAAAATTCACACCAACTAACGCCATGTCGAAAGTGGCATATCAGCTGCCGTCTATTTGGAATTGAAAACTGCAACAGGCCTTTTATTTGAAAATATGAGCTTGAGTAAAAAATTATTCTTTTTGGAGCTAAGAATGAATTTTGAGCCTAAAAAGAGTAATTCCAAGTTTCCAACTGTTTTCATAAATCTAAACTCAAAATTGATTTAAAATCAGAAAATTCATCAGAATTAATTCTTTGAAATTGTGTCAAAAGCAGTCTATGCCTATACTTCCTAACACGTCTGGACAGTGGAGGACATAAACAGAACTCTCTGGCTTAAAAAAGATTAGAAGAACAGTACTCTCAGAAAGATCCAAGGTGAGTCCTTAAGTTGAATAGGTACTAAATGGTCTAATGATCCATGTTTTGTTTGGATGTGATTTGGGATTTAAAAAGCAGTGTTTTGGCATGCTTTGGGGCTTAAAAGTGTTTTAACTTAAGATTGATCTGCGTTGACGGAGCGAATTGGCTTCAAATAAGCAAGATTCGAAACTAACTTCACCGAAAAGTCAAGCTCTGAGCTTAACTAAAGTAGTTTTTGGCTTTCCGGGATTTTCACCAAACACAGCTTGCTAGATTTTCATGTGATGCCTACCTTGCAATGTTGGAAGGATATTTCATGCAGTGGTTTCTGGCATTGCAAGGTTGATCCCATATGGAAAGCCTAGAAGCAATGTTTGATGAAAAGCCCAGAAAGCCAGAATGTGCTTTAATTAAGCTAATAAATGGACATCGTGGTGAAACTAGTTTTAGTAATTTCTTTTAAGTGGCTCAGTCAACGCTTAATCCAAGTTGAAGCCCTCCAAAACGCGCTCACGGGCTGTGTCTTGAAAAGCAGCTCCTATCAAACGCTGCAACATTTTTTTCTGCCGCATTTTTGTTTTCCAAAGACGAAAGCCAAGCTTATCCAACTTAAAGTGGGCCGACACGTAAATCCGAACGGAAATTTAGCAATGTCTATGGAGCATTACAAAAATTATTGCTCACAAATAACTAACAATATAGTTTGACTCAGACTGAGCTGGACCGCCTGAGGCGTTAACCCAAACCAACCACAGCTTGGGCTTGATTTTGATCAGCAAGGTTCAGTCTCAAGCAGATCAAGTTGTAATGCATACACAGCCATCTCAAATGTGTGCAACAGCCAAACCCTCTCTCAGACTCAGTCCAGCATCATCGGCAGTATCCCTGATGATGCAGGTAACTTTTAAAGAATCACATATTACAGAAATGACAGAGTAGAACATATAAACATTAACCCTCTCAAGGCATGCCAAGAATACCTGACAGCGATAACTGTACTGGTGACCGACCCCTGCTGTAGACCAAAGTTACTGCTTTTATTCTTAGCAATATAAGTTGGATCAAGAATTGACCTCACCAACTCAATCTAGTGCGCCTTCTCTATCTCGAATTTTAGAGAGTGCTCTTTCCAAATTTCTTTTTCAAGATATCTCTCAAAAATGCTTACTTCCCCACTTTCTTTCGCAGACACTGCTGCAGTGCTTCTAGTTCCATAACGCCCCTAGATATTGGAGAGAAACTCAATAATATATCTGGATCCAGAAAATAACTTTAGAACTAAGGAAGGAAACAGAAGAATTTACCAATGAAGTGTCTACTTCTACAAAAATGGAACTTGTATTGAATTCCCACTCGAGGGAGCGGATTCGTGGTAGCTTGTTTTGATCTGCTTTAACTGTATCCTTCATCAATTGTTCAACCATCTCCTTTACAGGGACTTCATCTTTGCCATATTTACATAGCAGTTCTTTGAAATTCTGACCCAACCGCTGTGCCTGCAAGGAGAATGGATTTTCAAAGTTGGTTATTGACATAAAGAGTTGAGAGGGGTCAGGTGATGGACACCAATATAGTTACAGAGACAGCATAATAATTCTCTTCATTGTTGTCATTTGGTACGATGATCAAGGAATTGTACTCCAGTCCTGAATTGAAATTCAACCTTCACTGTCTGACAATGAACCACTTCCATTTGGCTCTTATATTTTCTACTCAAGCGTATCTCTAACCAATTTGTACATAATTGCTGATAACATAGTGAGAACTAGTGGATCTTAGAAAAACAGATAGTTAGCTGATTGACTAAATGGGTGTGAATATAGGTTTGGGAGTTAATATGCGTATAGAAAATTCTAGGTGTGGCTCCACATGGGCCAAGCATGTGGAGCCACATGCCTCCTGAAGCAACGTGATCAAAGCATCATTAGAGTGGCAGTAGCAGTATTCCCTACCTTCTAGGAGGGAAACATGAACCATATGCACATTTCTCTTTACTAACTATACAACCTGAAATGAGAGTAAGCCAGTTGCAGCATCACCCCTGATCATGCCTCCTGAAGCAAATTACCTCTCCCAATCCCTTCTATTGCAAGTATTTTCTGCCTTATTTGCTGATTTTGGCACCCACATGACAGTTCGGTGGTTCAACTGGACCAGTAGAGCCATGAAATCAAAATGGTGATGTATTTAATTACTTCAAAAGATAATTTGTATAGGAGAGTTAAAAGGGTATTCTGCTGCCTTCTTCTGGCCTACCATTTCATAGCTATTTAAAGTGAAAAAAAAAAGAAGTTTTCCAAAGAATAGTAGTAGTTGCTGTAAACAAATTTATTTTCTTGGATCTTGAAAAAAAAAAGGTGATTGTTGGATAAAGCTGGAAAGAAAGAACTGCAGAGATGGAAGCCAAAATAAAATTGAATAGAAGGAAAGCCAACAGAAGGAAGTTTCTCATCAACTGAGACTTGCAAATCTGAAAAGAAAAAGGGAAAAAGATGCCCTAAAAGTATGCAGGGAGATAAGCAGAAGCTGAAGATTTATGAATCACCTCCCCCACCCCACCAAACACAGAAAGGAAAAAAAATATTACCGAGTGCTGATCATGGTTATGTGGGATCTTGGAAGGGGTTACCCAATGCTGATCCTGACCATGCATGGTATTGGGAGGGGTGGATAGTATATGGACCTACCACCAGCATTTTTTGCACAAAATGAATACTCTTAGACTCAACCCCATATTCCCATGATTATTAGTCTGAGATTTGTCCACGTCAAACAGTGGTCCCTCCACGTGTAAAAAGAAAGAAATCAATGCAAAAGCCAAGAAAGGTTTGATGAACACTTCAAACAGTGTAAAGTATCAAAACTTTTGGGATCTCTCTCTCTCCACACACACACCCCCTCACCCCTCTATTTTTTCTCCCTTTGCCAAATCTTGTGTGAAACATGGATAAAAACCATCAAATTCACACTGTAAAACTGTGAAAACTATTAGAAAAATAAAATAATCTGCAAACAGAAGTCCAATACATCAACCAAACTGAATGGTTCAACTTCAACCCTCTAAAGAGTCCAGTTCGTGTTGAACAAGATATGAGGCATGCTAACAGGCATCACAAAGGCTTCATCATGGGCTTCAACCATACAGCCAACAGGGCACAACTCTGTCAGCTTTTGTCTGCCAGTGTCATCTATAATGGATCCCACAATGTACACAGTCAGTTAAGTGTAAGCTTTGGTAATACCTTCTAGATTCTAGAATACCATGCTTGAAATTAATGCATATAGATATAGCCATATAAAATCTTTTACATACTTTCCAATACTAGAGTCCCTTAGGCTACGTTTGGTTTGAAGGAAAAGGTGAGGAAAGGAAATGAAAGGTAGGAAAACCAATACAAGGTTTGTAAAGATTCTTTGCATTTCCTTTCCTTTCCCTACTTTTTCCTTCAAACCAGACACAGCCTTAGTGTAAATGGGTTACTATGTATATATTTATAAATCTTTTGATATACTTCAAAACAATTACCTTATCTTTTAACATCATCATCATCATCAACAACAACAACAATAAGAATGTATGTTGAACCGTATCATTGAGTTAAGTTAAAGTAAATTATTTTTATGTAATCATAGTTTTACTAAAAAGATCCTCTATTTCTATAATTCCTACTTTAAAGGGGTCAAGCATTGTCCTATTTTCTTGGTCGAGTTTAACTAACCAACCTATTACCTGATCATCCACCCACATATCATCCCCCCCTCAACCCTTCAAACCTGACATATGACCTATATCCTATTTTCTCTTGCTGTAGTTGGAAATTATTTGGTATCACTTCCAATTACATGTAAATTTCTCAATGACCACATCCAACTTTTAGTCAACATGTAAAAATGACATTCTTCATTGAGAATTACTTTTGGATAAACATCATTTTTTAATCTTTTTGGACACATCAGAGCAGTAAGTGGGTAATGCTAGTCAATATAGTGCCATGAGAGAATTCTATGCAGCACAAACCTACTATCTAGTTTATGGTTTATCACATTCACAACCAGTGCAAGAAGATGCTGGTTCAACACCAACCTCTACTAGTGTAGACCTACTGTAATTGGAAATCTCCTTTGCACAATCATAGGGTGACCTCTCTTCTTCACTTTCTCAAGTTTTCTCATTTGCCTTATACGCTTTATCTCATGATTCTTGATGCAACTGTATATGTCTCCTTTCCTGTACACATGCACTGTAGTGGTTATCTATTTTCTTTTTTTCTTTCTTTGTTGTTTTCTTTGTCCTTGAATTTTGTTGGGCAACTTTAGTTAATTATGGCAATCCAACATCCCACATACATTTCCAAAACAATGCCAGGATAGTATACAGTTTTAAATCACTTATTGTCAGCTGTCATTTAGACATCCACGAGTTCATAAATCCATCCATAGATACAGCCATGAATTCTTTTGATAATTAAAGTTTCCAACATACTTGGTATGGCCATGTACCCTAAGAAAACCATTTACCCTGTTTCATAGCATATATTGTGTATTTGGATTCATGATCTTATCATATGGAGAAATCAGTTATATGGTTGAGAATCAGGTTTTTGGTTTACAATCATATATAGGTGATGTGATATTCAAAAGTTTCAAACTACCTCAAAATACATAAAATGTTCATGACTAGAAGCAAGATTGGGCACAAACTCTGATAGTTTATTTTGGCTTGAGGGGCCAATGCTTGTTATAATGGTAAAATCTCAGGTTGACATGCATGAGAATGCCAGTTCAAGTCTGAGAGCAGCCACTTTGTGCAAAAAATGCCAAAATTTAGGTCCCTATCCAGTCAACCCTTCCAAGACCCTGGATAGTTGGGACCAACATTGGGTAATAACCCTTCTCAATCAGTGGCATGGATCAGGTTTGAGTAGAAGAGGTAAAGTGTACTGGCAAACTGTGTTACATACAGTATTGTGGGGAATTTGGGAGGAAAGAAACAGGTGCGTATTTGACAACAAAAGCAGATCTCTTGAAGAATTAATTTCAGATATTTCCTTTTATTGCAATTTTTGGACAGTTAATTCTGAGCTGTTCCAAGGACTCTCTCTCAATGACCTTAACAGCAATATCCAAACAATCTTGTTTCCTCCAACCTACCCTCAACCAATCCAAAGACTACAGATATCGCGTAATGAAGGAGAGATGATTTTAAACTTTGATGGAAGTGCTGCAGGCAATCCTAGTATAGCTGGGATAGGGGGTATTTTGAGGGATGATCTGGGTAATATCTGTTGGGTTTTCAGTGGCCCAATAGGTAGTGCTGATTCAACAAAGGCTGAAGTGATGGCAGCTCTCACTGGAATCAGAATAATAAAAAGATTGGGTATTCAGAACTTATCCATTGTAGGAGATTCTGCTAATACTATCAAATGGCTGAAGGACAAGGAGAGGGGTCCTTGGAGGTTGAGTCATTATCTGGCTGAGGAGAGACTCCTTGGAAAATATAAATGCAAAACTGCTGTGGATACCAAGGGAGTTGAAGCATATTGCAGATGGATTAGCTAAAATTGGAGCAAGATTAGAAAATCTGTAAAGCAACAGGCTTCCCCCCCTTGTAATTTTGCTTTTCTGCTGTCTGAGTTCTTCTGTGTAGTACATCTGCTCATGTACTTCCTGTTATTTCTAATGAAATCTGGTTAACTTTTTCTCAAAAAAAAAAAAAACATTGGGTAATAACCCTTTATATGGCATATATTGAATGGGTAATTTATGAGAATGCACTTGAGAAAATGTCATCAGTAGCAGTTAACTCTTCCACTGCAAGTGGCAAATTATTGCCATGTCATAGATTTATCATTTATGGTTCACTAGCTACTATAGCAGATATTTTGATATGCTAATCATTGATGCCATTGCAAGAGTACTTGGCACATCATGGTTATCATTAAGTCGTCTTCTCCCCTTTGCTTGTATCTAAATTAAACTAAAACTTATCATGTGCATATAGGAAAAATTATCTTAATTGTCCTGAAGAATTTTTTGAAAAAAATGGTAACTTATTAATGAAACAGTGGGTACATAAGAAGATGTACACAGAAATTACAACTCAAATGTAAGTAGGAAGAAAGCTATCACTAAACAAGAAGTCCCTGTGAGCACCAGCTCTAGAAGAAATCTGGCCCAAGAAACTCAATACCAAATGAAGCAAGGAGAAATGACTCCAAAAACACTAAGAAAACAACTCCTGATGCAATCAATGATTGAGATTGGACTATGACAAGGATTCCTGCCTAGTGTAATGATCACCCTGTAAAAGGCAAAAAGCTGCCTAAAACCTTCTTTGTAAGCTGTTATAGTTCTTGGGACTCCCAAATACCATCTATCAAGTTAAATAAGCTTCACAAACTACATAGTAGCATAGAGAGAGGAAGAACAGAACACTCCTCTAGTAAAAAAATGATTTGGATGGATAAATTGTACTACATGGACTGGAGTTGGTTTACATATTGCTTTGTGGCCAGTATTTTAGGTTCCAATCATGGATGTTTACCACTTTCAATTTCAGCTCTGTTTGAATTCAAAAAAGATAAATTTTACTACATGGACCGGAGTTGGTTTACATATTGCTTTGTGGCAGTATTGGAGATTCCTATCACTGATGCTTACTACTTTCAATTTCAGCTCTGTTTTAATTCAACAAGGAGAAAATGACAATTCACAAATTTATAATTGAGAAAAAAAGGAAGAGATAAAAAAAATTAAATGGAAGTGGAAAAATCTACCTCACCATAATACTCTGCCAAACTAGGGAGATTGATAGTTTCTTACCTTATGCCATGGGGAGTCAAGCCTTGCATTTGAGAGCACATGAATACCTGGTGAAACCACTTCAATGGAAACAGGCTTTCCTTTTGGTCTGTTAGATATATAAACCATAGCTTTGGAACAAAAATCTGTTAATATTAGGTTGAACCCATTATACTGATCTGCTTCCTCTGCCACTTCCTCTGCAAACTCCAGGGGACTCTTGCTGCTCTACAGCCAATAGAAAAGCAAAAAACAAAAGATCAATAAAGTGAAATAGAGGTGAATTATAACCATTTGAGATACTCCAAGGGGATTAACCCGTTAAGACTGGTATAGAGGAAAATAAGTTGTAAAGAAAATAACAAATGGCCTGGTGACCAGTAACCAAGCAAGATAATATAAAAAAGAATGGGTCATAACCACATGCTGGACCTGCAGTTACTTTCCATTGAAAAGAAGCAGAAAGAACAATGGACCGAAGCTGAATAAAAATAAGAAACCTATCAATTGACTCAAAGCCTTGTCCCAACTATATGGGGTTGGCTACATGAATCCTGTTTAGCCATTGTGTTCTGTTCAGTACCATATCCTTCATTAAACTATTGGTACTTAAATCATTTTTTATTACTTATTAAGAGTTCTTTCAGTTTTTCCCCGAGCTCTTCTATCCCTTTCAACTTGTAACAAGCCACTTTTCCTAATAGGTGCTATAGATGGTCTTTTATGCACGTGACCAAACCATCTCAATTTACTTTCTCTCATTTTATCACTTATTTGAGTTACTTCTAGGTTCCTTCCTATGACTTGATTCCTAACCCTGTCCTTTCTAGTCTTACCACTCATCCATCTAAGCATTCACATTTCTACCACACTCGTTTTTTTTTTTTTTTGGACATGCTGTTTCTTAACTGCCCAACACTACTCTATACAACATAACTGGCCTCACAACTGTTTTATAGAATTTTCCTTCTAGCTAAAGTGCTATTCACCTATCACATAAAGATACCAGATGCACCCCTCCATTTTTCCCATCCTACTCTAATTCTATGGGCAACATCCTCCTCAATCCCCCCTTTATTATGGATCATTGAACCAAGGTAATGAAAGGGGTCACATTGATTTATCTTTTGGTCTCCGCTCCTAAGTGTATCCTAATTTGCACTTCTGTTATTATTAATTTTGTATCGTGTATTTTTTGTTTTAGTCCTATTTATTTTAAAGCCTCTTGTTTCTAATGCAGTTGTCTATAAACCTGATTTTGCATGGTGATTAAGAAAACTATATACAGCAGATATCAGCCACTAAAGGAAATAAAATGTATTTGGAGGGAAAACAAATTCAAAAGAGAACAAATCAAAGGGGGGCGATTAGATCAAGTGTGATCTCTAAAAAGCAATTGGACATCAAAGAGAACCATGGGTGGTTGTTCCCTCTCAACAAAATCCAAGTAATTAAGACCATAGCTCGGAATCAACAGGAAATTCAAACAAACATATGAAATGTTGGTAATGGATGGAGAAAATTACCTCCAAGAAACGCACAGGCAAGTCACCTCTGCTCTTTGCTTCGGGGACAGGGTTAAGTTCGAGTACATTTGTTAGAAACGCCAACTTTCCTTCTCTTGTACAGGCTAGCCATGTTCCCCCTGCACGCTCATCTCTTCCACCCATTATTTTACAACCTTCCCACCATGATATTGGTTTCGTAGGCCTTGATATATCCAACACAGACATACCCATCACAACCAACTCCGTGAAATCACATAAATGAAACCAAAACATAAGAACTTCACTGAAAATGAAATACAATTTACCTGTTATGATATTCATCTCTGTTGAGCAAGAGAAGAAATGGATAGAGAGGGTGATCTTGCCAAACAAACACAGCTATGCACATACTATCTAACTTAAATACAATCAAAATAACATTAGCAAAATCAAAAGGAAATATTCGAGGGGGCGAAATCCTATCAAACTATCAACTTTTGGAGATTCATTAGCCCAGTTGACCCTCTCAATCCACTCGAGATTTCAATGTTTGGAATTGGCCAACCAAATTCAATGAAAAGTTGAGAAAAGATGGAATGCAAAAAACTCCGATGCAAGAATAAGGGAACCCCTAATGGTTACGTAGCAAATTTTTCCATGAGAATAAAATTGGAGTCGACTTTCACCACCGTTCCGTTGAATATCCCTTCATTGACGAAACGTGTAATGAATGAATTGGTATAAATAAATAAATAACAAGTGGATAAGCTTTGGGGTCATCAGAAACCTGTAACACCGGATGCTGTAAGCAGGTGAAACCTCGGCTCGTGGCGGCAGCCTACAGGGAAGCTTTTCTTCTGTTTTCTTTGACTATTAAAATGATTTTCTGAAAGCGGCGTTGAATATACTAGACAGAATATGAAAGAAACAGGAAGTTGCGGGAGAACGGATAAACCAGATCTTCGGGAAGTTACAATATACGAGAAGGTACATGTCAGTATGTTCTTGTTTTTTTCATTTCCAGTGATTTTAGATTTTTACTATTCAAATGTTCTTTTACGGTTGGCTTTATTCAAACGTATGTGGTATGCTCTTTTTTTTTTTCATTTCCTGTTTTTCTTTCTTTTTTTTTTTCTTCTTCTTGATCCTCCAAAATGGTCTAAGGTTTATCACCATTTAATTTATTCCTTTTGGTTTTTTTTGTGTAATGTTTTTTTTTTCTTACAAGAATATTTGCTTTGTCTCTTTCTTTGATTGCATGTATGTTTAGCTCTATTTTAAAGCGGAACTTTGAACTTGATTTTCTGATTTTTTTTTCTTTGGGTTTTTCCGTTTGGTGGATTCATTGTCAATTTTTTTTTATGTTTAAGGTCACTTTGAATTGATCTTTTAAGGTTTTGAAATCCCTTGCAGTGTTCACCCTTCCCATGACTATGACTACAAAGTTATTTTGTCTAATTATTGACATCTAGAAAAAATGACTCGGCAATGGAACCGTTATGGCCACCGGTTTCTAAGTCAACGGTTCGATCGTTCGGTTCGAATGGATGGCCCGTTCTAACAACAAAAATTAAAAAATAAAATAAAAAATGGTCAAAAACCATTGAACGAATCGACCGCCCAAGTCACGAATTCATGATGATCTCTTTTAAGTCTTTATATGAGTTTCAATACTTGGGTACTTATAATGTCAAGTTTCTTATTAAAAAACCATTGTCTTTTTTAATGTAGCAAATGGCAATGTTATGACTCCAGCCCCTGCGAAGCAAGGGCCCCTCCGCTAATATATATATTAATACGATACCGAAAGAGCTTTGATCAATCAAATCACATGAGTTTTGATATAGAGATTCATTGATTATAAGTTTTTTTTTTTTCCTTTTTCGGTTATTGTTTAGTCTACCCCATAAATTTTAGTACAATTTATACAGTTGGGAACAGCAACTGACAAAGTGGGAGAATTAATCAAAAATTAAGGGAAAAAAAAAACAATACAAGTTGAGGTGGGTTGAACTCTAAATTTTCCCAAGTTTTCCATATTATAGTTGAATCGATGACCAATTCAAATGTCCAAATACAGCCAAAGGCTTAGTTTGGGAAGAGTGCAAATACAAAGTTTAGGGTGCAAATTTTAAAATGACTATATACAAACACGTAGAGTGCAAAATCTTGTATATCAATATTATTTCATATGTATTTACACTTAGGGGCAGAGCCAACTATATGTATTTACCCCCCCCCCCCAAACATTTTGCTAAACCACCATTTATATAGTTGTTTGGCCCTCCTCAAATTTGAACATAGATGTTAAGGATCATTTTGTATTGCTCATCCAACTCCTATAATTTTAAAAATAAATATTTATTTTCCCTTAAAAAAATTGTGATAGATCCAAACCTTCCAACCCTGCTTTTACTCCCTCTTACATTGTTTTTGTTTAACTCCATCCCCCCTAAAAGAAAAAAAGAAAATCCCTAGCTCCGCCACTGTTTGCACTATATATATATCCTTCCAAATTGAGCCTTAGGCTATGTTTGGTTGTAGCGTAATTTTATTTGCACTAGTATAAATGCATAGGAGTGCAATGAAAAAAAAAAAAAAACAATTATCATTTAATATTGTTCTGGGTTTTTACTTTATTTACTTCATGTCTTAATTTTCTTCATTTGTAATACAATCAAACAAAATAAGCTAAAATGTGAAACTAAAATAGGTCAGAATTTACACAAATCAATTATAATGTTACAACTTGCATCAGTGCAAATTTATTTGCATTTGCAACTAATCACAACCTCAAGTACAAATATAAATATGTTGAGTGCAAAAACTTGAATTTTATATTATTTTATAATGTACCTACACTGTACATATTTGTGTACTCTTTCCAACGAAGCCTTAACAAAAATTCTTTTGATTTATTGCAAAAACATGAAAATTATAAGAAAAACATGTATATAATTGCTTCCAGTCTTAATTTTTTTCCTAGTGTCATGCATCATTGATAACTTCCCCGACCCCCTTCTTCCCCAAAGTGTTGGTTGCAGAATCAAATATTGGAACAAACCAGCTAACACACCAATGAGCCAGCCCTCAGTTGGCTCTGGTGTTAATCGGTTTATTAGTATTAATTCATTTATTAATATGGAACTAACATAATCGATTCGGTTTTGTTGGTTGACCTGACCCATTGACAACTTTTAGTTTTGCTGTTTTAGACTTTGTTAATTCTAAAAGAGGGGAGTAAGTTTATGCAACCAGTGGTTTTTATACAAAAGAAACTTGAAAAATATAAAGATTGGATAAAAACGAAAACAACAAATATACATAAAATGATAAAAAATAAAAAATTATATATTATAGAAAAAAGTAAAAAATTGTAGAAAAACACAAGAAAGTGATCAATTTTCAAAAAGATAATAAAAAATTACAAACAAACTAATAAAATGATAAAATTTTTCAAAAATTAGACATTGAATCCGAAGATTGTTGCAACAAAATTTCAAACAATCAGATAAACAATTACAAAAATATTTTTTTTGCATAAATTTGTAGAACCCTCAATGGGGATTTACATTCCATATTCAAAAGAATACATTGCAAATGTTTCAAAACATAAAAAGATCTTTGAAATTTATGATCGTCTTCTTTCAAATCTCCAAACTAGTAGATCGTCTTCTTCAATATTTGAGCGAGAGAGAAGGTGCTACGATGGCAACAAGATATAAGCAAGAGAGAGGATGGTGCGGCAACCTTCAAGAATGAGGGAGAAGGTGGTGCAATAGTTAGATCTGTGCGAGAAAAGGTGGTGTAGCGGCCAAATCTGAGCGAAAGAGGGTGATGCGGTGATTAACTTCAAGATCTAAGTGAGAGAAGGTGGTACAACGACCAGATTTGAGAAAGAGAGAGGGTGATGCAGTGACTACCTTCAAGATCTGAGCGAGAGAAGGTGGTGTAGTGGCTAGATCTAAGCGAGATAGAGGGTGACATAGTGATTACCTTCAAAATTTGAGCAAAGGAAGGTGGTGCGGCTGCCAGATTTGAGCGAGAGATAGGGTGATGTAGTGACTACCTTCAAAATTTGAGGGAGAGAAGATGGTGCGGCAACCATATTTGAGCAAGAGAGAGAGTTTTAGTCTAACCCTAACCTAAATGGCTCTTTTCCCCTAATTCGCCATTCAAGGGTAATTTGGTCATGAAAAGTGTTATTTATGCTGACATGACCATTTATGTTAAGAAACGTTAACGATGCACTAACGGAAGGTGAGTTTTGGAAAATAAAACTCATCTAACATGGTGAGTTTTTGGACAAAGTTATGGTGAGTTTAAGAGAATTCATAAAAAGTGATGGTGGGTTTTTGACAAATTCCCTTGAATTGAATTAGATATAGTAAGATCCAAAGTTGATTCGTTCATATTTAAGTTCGAATTGGATCATATCATTGGATTTATATTAAATTTGAATTAAATTAGGATTGCAATGGGATATTAAATGGTGTTGATAAATTAAACTAAAAATGACTAAAATATCATACATTATTAATAAAATAAAGTACAAAAGTCTTTAATATTGTATTTCACGAACAAGATATATATGAAATTTGATCATAATAAGCACATATGAACTCATTTATGTCATTTTTGAAACAACCAATGAGATGCTCTCTTTCCCCATAAAATATTACCTAAAATCTCTATCACTCTCTCTCTCTCTCTCTCTCTCTTATATATATATCCTACACATTGTCAATAACCTAAATCATATCCTCTCCTAAAATTTCTCCTAAACTACCGCCCCTACTATCCCCCACCTTCTTCTAAAGTATCTATAATTTCTATTTATTCTCTCCCCAACCTTTTATCTAAATCTATTTAAAAAAAGTTCAAATTAAAAATTTGAAAAATATTTAAATATTCTAACAAAATTATATAATAAATTTAAATATTTATTAAAAGCACAAAAAATAATTATAATATATTTAATATATTCATATTATTAATATTTTTATATTTTTACAAAATTCATCATGAAATTATATACTAACATTATAAATTATGATTTTCTAGTTGATTCAATTTAAATATTATTAAAATAATAAAAAAATAACATAAAAAATTAAAATATTATTTTAAAAAATGTAATAACTAAAAAATCTTAAATAAAAAATAATAAAAATATCTAAATAATTATATAACAAAGTATTTAATGTTATGAAATAACTTCAAAATAAATAAATTTCAAATAACAGAAAATTATAGATTTTAAATAGTTAAAATAACGAAATTATGTAATAAATTAAAAAAATTTCTTAAAAGTAGAAAAATAATTATAACAAAATGTTCAAATTAATAATAATTTAATATTTTACAAAATGAATAACAGAATTATGTAATAATAATATAAATTATAATTTTATGGATTATTGAATACAATAAATAATTAATGTTTTAAAATTTATATAGTGATATCATTTAAATAACTAAATAATATTGTAAATAACTATTTTCAATTATATTAAATAATAATTATAGAAAATAACTTTCAAAAAAGTAATATCTATTATTTATTGTGTTTTTTGATAAATATATTTTCAATAATTAAGTATAAGCTTATTTTTGTTTTGTTATTTAATAGAAAATTTTCAATAATTATTGGAAATTAATTACTATTATTTAACTTTTTAAATTTAATTTATTGTACTTATTGTATTTTTGTTATAATTTATTGATTAATATTTATTAGAGATTAGACTATTGTTTGGGATCATACTATTTCATGACTAATTTAATATATTTTTTAGTATTCATTGTATTTTTGCAATTATTGTAATTATTGCATTTTATTAGTTATTTATTGAATTTTTATTATCAATATATTTCAATAATTGTGTATTTTCACTATAAATTTTTAATAATTATTGGAGATTAAACTATTGTTATTTATTAGATATTAGACTATTAATTTAGTTAAAATTAAGAGTGTTCATGGGTTGGTTCGGATTGGTTATAGGGTGTTTGGCAAACCAAATTGACTTGGTCAGGTTGGGTAGTTTGGCCACCCTATATCGACTGATCATTAGTGAAAATTGGCCAACTTGGGTTGTATCAGTTTAGGTCAATTTTCAGCTTGGTCGATCGGTTCAAAACATTTAAACTAAAAAAATATAAATATAAATTAAAAAAATTATAGTGACTATTAAAAAATAAATTTAAAATTAAAATTTATAATATAAAATATTTTAAACAAAAAATATATGGGAATTTTCATACTTTCCGTATTAATATATAAAATCGTTTGATTTTGGTTGAATTTACAAATGACCAAAATGAAACCAATCCAACATAGGTAGGTTGGGAAATTGTTAAAGCAAAGCCAACTTAAAAAACTGATTAACACAGGTCTAATTGGTAAATTGGTTGATTTCATTAGTTTGATGAACAAGCCCGACTGAAATTAATTATTGTAATTTTTGTATTATAAAAAAATTAAAAATAATATATATAATATAAATAAACATTAATTATTAAAATAAAATAAAATAAAAAATAATTATATACTCCTATATGTTTCTATTTTTTAACTTTCACTTAAATTCAATTAACTCATCGGGTAACCTGATTTTGCAGCCCCTTACTTTTCTTTTGCCATGCAGATTGCAGAAAAGACGTGTCCACTTTTGATAGACTACTGTTAATCTTAAAGACTGCTGCTTTCATTTGTTCTATCCAAAAATAACTCGTGAGTGGGGTCACGAATAATATCATTTGATTGTTTCTTTTTGTTTAGCAGTTGAGGGACCCACATGTTGAACATCTTGGATTTATTCGGATGGTGGAGTGCAGCTCTTGTATGATAGTCAGACCTACAAAAAAAATCAAAAGGGTACGGTAGTAAGTGGGTCACTCATGTACCCGCTCTTAAGCCTTTGTTTTATTTTCATTTTCTAGATATAGGTATCGGATCATGTGTACCTGGAGCTAGACCCGGAATGATAACCCTACTCGGTGCATGTGATTGAATAGACATTTAACTTCCGAAGAGGGAGCTTGCTGTCTCAACCCGACCCAACATGAAATGTACATACCCGTTGGATCCGGGAAGGCGGGAACTGCCCAACCTAGGTTCATACAGAAGGTACGTCGGAACCCGGAAGGTGGAGCTGACATAATCACGTGCCGATTACTCACGCGTCACACCCACATAAACCGTGTGACTCTCACGCGCGAAGCTGATCTCCTAAAGGGTCGTAAACCCCGAAACAAAATAAAAAAATAAAGAAAAAATTACCCCTGTTTAGAGAGAGAGAAAGAGAGAGAGAGAGAGAGAGAGCGCGCGGGGTGAGGCCACAATGGGTAAGGTAGTGGAGAAGAAGAGGAAGAAGAAAGGACGACCGTCTCTTTTAGATCTCCAAAAGCGAAGTCTCAGACAACAACAACAGCAACAACAGCTGCAACAGAAACGGAATCCTAACTCTAATCCTCACTCCAATAATTTTAGAAACCCTATCATACCTAACCCTAACCCTAACCCTAACCACCGACTTACTCGCCGGAACCCTTATCCCGACGGAACCGCAGCGGCGTCGGACAGGAATGAAGGTGCAGATGACGATGACGATGACGACGACGACGACGACGACGACGATGACGACGATTCGAACGGGAGGCGGAGAGAGAAGAAGCTCAAGTTTGTTCTCCGACTACCTGCAAATCAGCAGAATATGTCTTCGGTCAATTCCTCTTTGAATTCTGGTTCCTGTGGGTCCGATTCGAACGTGGAGGATGAGAATGGCGAGACGCCGCATAAAAGGAGAAAGATCAATGCCTTCGTTGATGGATCCAATAACGTTGATGACGGAAAGGTGACGAATTTTCTGACTTGTGCTGGCAAAATTGTTTTCTTTGTATTTCGTCACGTAGAGATTTGAAGTATATATATCTATATATCTATATATCTATATATCTATATATATATATATATATATTTGATATTGAAGGCCGGATTTTTGTCAATACTAGAAGAATTCGGTTTACTTATTTGATCCTTTTTGGCTTCTTGGAGAATCTTTGTCGATATGATCTGAAATTCCATTGATATTCGCTCTTTATTTCAACTTTCTTGTTGGGTTTCAGAATCGGATGTATATTGTGTTTGACTTGGTCAAGTTTTGATTATTCCTTTTTTTCTGTTTTTGAAATTTGGTGTGCGATAACCTTTTCTATTTTTGTTTACGGGTTTCTATTATATTCTGGTGTTGCATTTAATCGAATCATATGTACTTAATAATACTGGACTGTCATGTCCTGAAAAAGTTTAATTTTGTCCTTTTCTTTTTGCTGTTCTCAGTTTCTCAAACGCATATCTATTTTTTTTTTTGCCGCTTAGTTTCTCCGCGTCTTATCGACTTTGTAGTTTTTGCTGTAAATTCCTCTCTCTCTCTCTCTCTCTTCCGAGTTGAGTCTTCTGTTGCCACAGAAAGTTATATAGCTGTATTTTTTGTTCTTTATTTGAGTTGCAGGGAGAAAAGGCGAATTCTTCCTCGAAAGGGACAGTCAATCTCCCAGGTTCGCTATTTGTTTCTCTGTTTTTTTTTTTTCTATTCATTTTTTTTCATGACGATATTTCCAGAAATGTACAATAAATTATTTATCTATTTATGCTTTTTTTTTTGTGAACAGGGACACCGTTGGAGTCTGGACCCACAACACCTTTACCGGATAAAAAGTTGCTGGTGTTCATCCTCGATAGGCTTCAGAAGTGTGTTTTCTAGCTTCTTAAATGCTAATATATTCCCCCATTCTGCTCTTTATTTTGAGCCTACTGAGGTTTTCTAACGATCCAATCTACTTGCAGGAAGGACACGTACGGTGTATTCTCTGAACCAGTGGATCCAAAAGAGGTGAGTTTTGAAGCTAATGCATTTAATTTTGACATTAGACTTCTTTTTGTAGTCTAAAATCTGATAAATTAATTATGTATAGCTTCCCGACTACCATGAAGTTATAGAGCATCCCATGGATTTCGGAACTGTGAGGAAAAAACTGGCTGCTGGATCTTATGCCAATTTGGAACAATTTGAGGTTAGTTTATACTTAATTGATAATGTCTGAGGTGCACTTTAAATCTTGGAAGATTTTCATTATAGGCTTTGTTGATTCTCATGTAGGAATTTAACTGTTATTTACTATTTGATCTCCTTTTTCCGTGGAGGCAAAAAAAGAAGAGAAAATGGACCTATGCTCTTTGATGTTTCTTTTTTTCTTCCATAGGAATTTATAAGATCATAATTACCTTGCCACTTTTTTTTTTCCTTCTTCTTCATTGATATTGAACAATAGGTGCTTCTTGGTACACCAACACAGTTTCATCCCATTGAAGCTTGTTTTTTACTTTATAAGTTTATATATGGCAAGATTATAAGATTGTAATTAGAATGGGTCTGGTTTTTATTGTTTGCCCCCCCCAAAAAAAAACAGAGTGGGTCTGGTTTTATTCCATCAAACAACAGGTCGTTGTTAGAATGTTACACCCGTTCTTCTGGTTTGAACTCTGTATATTTCATATTAGGCTATTTCATGGATCCAAATAACTTGTAAGACAGATGTTGTTTAATATAACATTGCCTACATTTGATTTCACGAAGCATTTTTCTCCTTCACCCTCTTGATGTCAATTTTAACCAACTCATGTTTTATGTCTTTTTTTTTTTTCAATCAATCTCCTGTTGTTTTCATTTATAAAAGTATTTCATTAATGAAGAAACGACCTTGGCAATGCAGTTTATAAGCAGGATGAATGGCCTTTTTAACTTGGAGATGTAATGCCCTTAGGACTGGGGAGTAATTTTCTGAGGGGCCAACAGTTTACTAGCTGAACAGAAAGATGGATGGGGGGGGTGATGAATGATCATAGTTTTCAAGGTGCCAAGGCGAGTCTAGGTGACAGGGGGCGCCTTGTCACCTAGTTGTCTAGGCGCCTGCCTAGGCGGTGGATTTTATTTTATTTTTAAGTAAAAAACAAATATCCTAGGGTAGTTCCCTAGGTTCCTTAATCATATTTACTTAATAATTATCCATAATTTCCATAAGAAAGTATAAACTTCATGTTAAAGTATAGAAATCAACATATTCATGACAAGAAAAGGAAGAAAGAAAAGAAAATTCAAAAATATAGGGGCGGAACCCTTATTTTTCTTATAGGAAAAGAAGAAAAGAAAAGGTGGAAGAACAAGGGTTGATTAGACCCTAACAAATAAGAAAATGATAAAAAGAAATTAGTATATAAACACAAAATGAATATTTTAGTTTTAATAATGTCTCTTTTATAATTATAATCTCAAAAGATAAAAAAATATAAAAGCATTTTATAACACAACATACAAAACTACTTGGTGGTTAGGCGAGGCGAACCTCCAAGGGCGCCTTGTCGCCTAGGTGCCTGCCTTGACAACTATGTGAATAACTAAGAAAGCAGAGTGCATTTAGGAAAGGTGCCAATTCTCTAACCGATAGGGGTGGGGGAATAAAACTGGTAGAGTACATTTTAGAAAGGTGTTAACTCTCTGACAAACAATGACTTTAAGCTAAGATATAAATTGCTGCTGAAGAGAGTTACAGGAAAGTGGACAGATTATGGTGCACGTTGACCCTATTTGAAGATCATGGGATTTCAAAAATGGAACCCATAAAACTGTATTTTTTGATAGGTAATGAGAAACTTTATCATTAACTTAGAAAAAAGCTATATACAACAAATAAATAGCCAACTGCCCATACTATCTAGCAGCAAGAAAACCTTTTACAGTGTTCCTCAAAACATCTGGTCCCTAATAAGTAATAACCCCTTTCTGGCAAGTGAACCAACCAAGCCATTTGCCGATCTCTGGACCCAAATGTATCTTATGTTTAAGGCTCTCGAAAGCTGTCTTGTCTAAACCACTATGAACCAGGTCTTTATGCTGCATCCATCTTACTAGTTACTACTGTCCTTGAATCACTTTCCACTTGAAGGTTTATGATTAGACCTGGCAAAAAGTTGACCCAACCCGACCCGAAAAAATGGGCTGGGTTGGGTCATGGGTCAACCCGCTGACCCGATTGTCAAGTCTAATTGGGATTATTTATGCATTGTTAGAAGTTTCCACTCTTTAATTTTTATTATTTAGTCTTTACTTTTTATTGTTTACTCTTTAAATTGTTAAATTTTTAAGTTTTTATTTTATATTTGGAATTTTAAGGTTAATTCTTTTAATTTTGACATTTTTCATGTATTTTTTTTAATTTTTTAAATTTCAATTATTTTTTGGGATGACCCGAAGCGACCCATGGGTCAACCCTAACCCGAACATTTAGGGTCAGGTACCCAACCCGAAATCTAACTCGACCCGAAACCAACCCGAAATACCTTGACCCAACCCGAACCGACCCACCCAACCCGATTTCCAGGTCTATTTATGATGTTAAGGAGCCTGCTATACCTTAGACAATAAAGTAATACCATCAGCTCTGCCCCCATCGAGTTCCCTTGGTCTATAGGTCCTGACTCCTGAGTAGGTGGCCAAAACAGGACCTTCAGAGTTCCTGATCACCCCTCCAACTCTCTTGATGGAACTCGGTTACCAAGACTGCGGCAATCAAAATTTAATTTTACCCAGTTTACAGGAGTCAAGTCATGGTGAGGTAATCAAACTATGGATGAGGAATCAGCTATAAGCCCCTACCCCCTTATCATTATCATTTACTATAAAATCAGCAAAGGCCAAAAAGAACTGTATTGATTTAGGGCCACATGAGCATGTATTAGGAGTTATTTCCAATAGTGACACAATTACAGAAATGGACAAGCTTCAATGAACAATGTTTTGTCTGGACAATGATTAAGAAAGTAACATAAATTCTAACCAGATAAATGCAGTTATGAAGGAGTGAAAGGGGGATGGATTGGCTTTGTCTTTCATTTGGTTAAAGGGCTATAACTCAACGATGGTCCCAGCTATTTAGGAGGGGTAGACTGAATATGGATCTAACCTTTGTAGTTTTTTCCAGCATAATATTTTACCATTGAGCAATGACAACTAACTCAAGTCAACAGAAGACACCAAACCACTAGTGTTTGGGAAATTTAGAGTTTATTAGGGGAACAACTTGAAATACAAAGAATCATCATTCAACAATGCTATAGGATCTCCAAGTTTTTTGTTAGTGACTAAAGAATTACGCCAATACATAGGGACTGAAAAAAGTGGAATGCATTTTTTTGTTTGTTTGTTTTTGTTTTTTATTTATTTTTTTTTAAATTAAAGGAAGAGGGGTGCAAGGGTTTCACCAGACTAAAGATGTTGGAACGTCATGAAATAGAATTTAAAATTATGGCTGAAAAGTGATGGTAAGAACAGGTTCAGTACAGATTTAATATGTTTGATTATAGGGGAGCAGTAATGGATGTTGTCAGTAACTGGAGTTTGTTGTTGAGAGTATAAGGGTTTAAACTGTAAGGGGAGTTTAAAATTGGGATAGAAGCCTTACATATTCTCTGGGTTCTTAATGATTCAAAAACTCCTATTATCAAAAAACAATCAAAAACTCCTATTATCAAAAAAAAAAAGAGATTCAAAAACTCCTAATTTTATATTCACAAGGACGCAAAAGTTATAAAAGAGGAACCCAGAAGGAAATATGAGCAATTGAAGATGACAATGATAAGAAAACTTTGATAACTTAGTATCTTGCCTGGGTGCAGTATCATGTCCAATACTTCAATTTTTAGTGCAACTTTTATTTCTCACACCTTGTCCATCCATGCCCTTGTCATTGTGTGGGTAAACACGGAAGGAAAGAGATAAAATTTGGATGGTGTGCCTAACCTCCTCGAGACGTTAAGGTTTGATGCTATGATGTCTGGATACCTATACAAGTGTGCCATATGGTGTTGGATACTTCAATTTTAGTATATATTTCATATCCACTACTGTATCCTGCCATGTCCTTGTCATATCTAGGTAACATAGGATTGATGGAGTCAAATTGTAAAGCAACCTTAAGAGCACAATCCTTTAGGGCTTGCACATGTTTTAAGGAAAGCCATGTGGCTCAAAGCTGTATGGGTTTTCCCAAATTTCCTTGATGGATGGGTGGTCGTTGTTCCAAATGAAGCAGCCCATGCTATCTAGGTCCTTTGCAATAATATAGGGTATTGTCGTGAGGGGGTCAAAAACAATGCTGGTTTTTGTGGGTTTAAGCTCTTCTTTTGAGTTGCTTGCTTGTCTTTAAGGGTTGGCCTTTTTTTCTTATTGGCAGTAATAAAAAATTATCAAAAGAAGAAAAAGAAAAAAATATCTACAATAATGGTGAAGATATTTCACTGAAAAAAAGAAAACAGCTCCAAAAGAATATACATCATGACTTCTAATAACCTAATACAAGATTCAAAGTGGCCCAAAATTTAATCACAAAACCTTTTTACTCAGTTCTTTAAAATTTATAAGAGGCAAAAACCAGTCTACCATCATACCTAAGATTTCACACAACCAATTTTCTTCTTGGCTGATATTTCTTCTCAAGAGCATCATCCCATTTGCCCCTTTCTCTCCAAATACACCATCATACGGCAAACAGGGTGATGCTGCAAATTAACCTTACCCTTGTTTCCTGTCCCAATCTTGGCCACACAACAAATCTCCACCATTTCATTTGGTCAAAAATTTCTGACAGGGAATATAAATAAGATTTACTGCTCTCTGTGTTTGGGGGTGGGTGGGGAGGTAAAGGAGAATTTTACTTTAATGTTAGCTAATTAGGTTTTTACTTGGATCAGTCTGTGGCTTACATCATTATTTGCTTTTAGAGAGAAATGGAGTTTATGGTTTCTTTGATAGCCTACTCCAAACCAATTCAGCAACCAGTTTTCATCTTGGCTGATGTTTCTCCTCAAAGAGCATCGTTCTATTTTTTCCTTACTCTTCAAGTACACCATCATACAACAAATAGGATGATTCTCCAAATTAACCTCACCTTATTTTCCCCTCCCAGTCTTGGTCATACTGATAAAATCTTCTCCAGCTTGTTTGGTCAAAGCTTTCTGAATATAGATTAGTTTTACTGCTTTATGTTGGGTGTGGGTGAGGTAAAAGGAGAATTTTACTTCAATTTTATCCAATTATTCTTTTTTGCTTGAATTATAAAAAAATATTCTTTTTGCTGGATCAGTCTGTGGCTTACATAATCATTGCTTCTAGAGGCAGAATTAAGTTTATGGTTACTTTGGTTGCCACTTGGTCCTTGGATATCTTGAAAAGGGTAAAAAAGGGCAGTTGAGTTGTTATTTGCTTATTTTTAAGGGAAAATGAAATGGTTTCTGAACCTTCCTTTACCATGTTGTCATGCAGAAAGATGTTTTCTTAATCTGCTCAAATGCTATGCGATATAATGCATCAGATACAATTTACTTCAGACAGGTACTGTGGAGCCTCAACTCCATTAATTTCCATATTCTGGCTGCTTTTGTTCATTGTTTGAAATTTGATTGCTTTTTTCTCTCAGGCACGGTCAATACAAGAGCTAGCAAAAAAGAATTTTGAAAATTTGAGGCAGGATAGTGATGATAATGAACCAGAGCCTAAAGTAGTAAGGAGAGGTAGACCACCAACCAAAAACCTGAAAAAAACACCAGGAAGGCCACCCATCGAATGCATTGGTTCTGAGTTCTCAGAAGCAACTCTTGCTACTTCTGGAGATGGTGTGACATGGTCCAACTCTTATGATCTTAGAAGAGGATCTCTTCAAGATAAGTCTGGTCCCGCTGATGCATCAGGAAGGACTGTCCATGGAACTCGTGGCAGTGATGCTTATGCTAGTTGGTTGGCTGAGCACAAAACAGAGAGGAATGATGAGTTTCCAGGTTTGGGAATGGAATGATTTGATTGCTTCTTTTTGAAGCAAATTTGGCCTCGCCTTACTGATGCAATTTCCTTCTTTCTTGCAGGTTCAGGATTAAGAGGTATGCCAGTGAAGTATGGGAAGAAGCAAATTGTTATAGATGAAAATAGACGTAAAACCTATAAACTATCACAGCAATTGGTTAGTGGACGCGAGTCATTAACATTTACTATCTTTGATGAAGAGAAGCACTTGATGGCTGTAAGTATCAAGTGAAGTTATTTACCATTTTCTACTTCTTTCCTGGAGCAAGTTATGAAGTTTAATATACTTGTGTATTTTAAGGAAGTGGTCAGTGTACATGGCACATATGTCATAGTGGTTTGAGCCATTATTTTGTTGTTTCCCACCCAGAAGATGAACCTCAACCCTGGTCAAGATTTGCTACCTTTTGTATTGCATTCCGAGTCAGAAAACAGAACCCCAAGATGGATTGTCAGTTGATAGAAGGGATCCAGTCCTGATGGTTGGGACCATAGGACTCAAGGATACCCTGAATCCTTGACACAAGATCAGTTGTTCTGATTCTAAACTGATGCAGGATGAACCTGCAAAATAAGAAAAAGGAAAGCAAATAACCTAGGAATCAACGCTTTGGCTTCTTTAGGAATCAATATGCAGAGGAACTGTTACTATTAGGAAGCAACAACTAATAGTTTTGTTAAGGAACTACCACCATCAAAAAATTTTATATCAACACCTATGAAAACTAAGCCCAAGGAAAAATTTTATTTTGAATTCATATCATTCATTTCTATGGAAATAATATGGATATTTTTGTTAAATCAATAATAAAATAATAAAGACTTGATTCCATAAATATGAACAGACTCCTTATAACTCTTCAACTCATACCTACAATTTGGATTCCCTTCATAGATTCATTGGCTATCCTTAACCTGGCCATAACTTCCTCAAGTTACATCCCAAATTGCTTGATTTTGGGCTTGGGGATGGACAAGCTTTGTAATCAAGCTAAACAACTTTTGACACATAAAATCGTGTCTTTCTGATACTTTGAAGCTTAAGTAATTAGCTTGAAACTTTGACTATTTGATGTTTTGCGTCCAATAATACACAGACAAGATCCACTGAACAAGGAGTTTGCAATTGTCTTAGATAGTTCACCTCTATGCTGATAGCCTGCCTATATGGTGTTTCCATTGTTAAATTATATTTCTTTTTTCTTTTTCTTTTTTACCTGTTCTTTTATCATGCTCAGATTTGGAAATGGTTACTTCTGATTCAGGTGGGTCTCCACTCTGAATATGGTTATGCGAGGAGCCTAGCTCGATTCGCTGCAAACCTTGGGCCTGTAGCATGGAGAACCGCTTCAAAGAAGATAGAAAGGGCATTGCCTGCTGGACTGAAGTTTGGTCCTGGTTGGGCGGGAGAAAATGAGGCTCCATTGCCACAGCCCCCTGTGCTATCAACATCTCTGCCAGGACCATTGCCACAGCCACCTGTGCTATCAACATCTCTTCCATCACAATTGCTTACCCCACGCAAGGGTTCATCTTCCATGGTGACACCTTGCTTAGTGGAGTCAAGTGGTGATAAATCATCAGAGAATCAAGAAAATTTCAATAACTCAGCTTCAGATGGCCTTCCAAAAAGATCTTTTGCACAGTCTACCTCTGCTCCCTCATCTTCTGCAGTGACTAACAAATCTCCAGAACCTACTATGGAGGGTGTCGAACCTAGTAGAGGATTAAATTATGATAATAGGTTTAATTTACCGAACAGTGGTGGTTCTGTCAGGCCTAATCCTCCCTTCCAGATTCATCAGAGCCCTGCATTGCACCCTGCAATGAATGGTTTTAGTAGTGGACAAGGGTTTAGTTTTCCATCTCAGATTGGGAAATTGGCAAGATTGGCCAGACCAGCTGGCAACTTCAGTTCAGAGGTGCCAATGCCTTCACGACTTCCCAATACGGTTTCAAGAAATAATAATAATTTTGTCCATTCAACTCCTGTAAACCGTTTAGATCCAAATGAATCAAAGCTGTCTGGGAGTTCAAATACAATAATTTCTAGTGGTTCCATGGATGACCATGCGGCACAAGCAATACCTGGAACAGGGTTATGTTCTCAACCATCTTGGAGGGGATCATCACTACAGCAGAATCCAGATCCAGTTCCACCGGACTTGAATGTGAGATTTCAGTCACCAAGCTCTCCAAATTCTGGCGTGAGGGTTGAGTCACCACAGCCTGACTTGGCATTGCAGCTTTGAGGATGATAAGATCGTTTTTCTTTCATTTGATTTGCTGGAGATTATTGCCTAATTGGTGTAGGAGTTACAGCTCCTGTAGTTCAGAAGGAAATGAGATGGCCGATTTGACAAGGAAGCAGGACAATAGCCACACCGTAATTGTGTTGTAAAAGAGTTACACTCCTGCCACCGGAGGGAGGAGGGTGATTTGTACAGATTAATGTATCCTAATTGAGGGGAAAAATTCCATTTGTAATATTAAATCCATCATTTAGTAGAAGCGATATTTTTTTCCTTGTTCCAATTAATCAAGAACTTGCTTTTCATTTGTATTTTCACGAAAAAAACCCCTGCTTGGTATCGTGGGCATTTTTCTAAAAAACGGTGCCACATTGGAACCACATAGGTGATTCCACTTTTCACCGCCTACATGATTGTTGGTTCAGGCGATTTTTGAAAAAAATGGTAAAAAACAGGGATGCATCTGCTTGGTTCAGGCATCACCGAGCCATTGCCCCCAATGGCTTGATGATGTGGCACTTATGTGTACCTTAGCTGTTGCATGAGCTGTTGATGTTGGGAATGTTCCGGTGCTTCTCGGCCCACTGGAATTTCAAATGCAATGGTAAGTAGGGTTGAAATCATCGCTAGGGGATTTCATGCAACAGGCATGAACCTGTACTGCACATCTTTCTTCTTTGTTGCCGAAATATTTCCACTGTCACTGCTCAGCCGCTGCAATCATCGCTAGGGGAGGTCGTTGCCGGAGCAAGTATTGCAATGTTTTTTAGTTTTTAAGTTCCCAGTTCTATTTTTCATAGGGAAACCTCTCTAATACTGCCATTTTTGCGTTTTCTTTGTCTTCAAAAGGGGTTTACAGAGCATCATCTGGTCCATTCTTCATCTCCAATCAAGAGGTCAGTACAAATGATTTGTTTACATCTGTGTTTGGCTTCTTGTTATTTTTCGTTCAAGGATTAGTTTCTCATTTGTCTGGTACATTCTGCTGTTGTTTGGTATCGACATGATCCTCATGTGTGAACTCTATTCTTTATAAAGCTTTATTGTTTTGTATATTAAATGGTTAAGGTTTATTTGATGTTTGATGAAGTGGACGAACTGTATATAAGCTGGTTGATTTTAGGACTTGAAAAACTCTGTTCTTTATAAAACCTTCGATTATTTGAACTTGCTGGCTAATTGCTTGTAAAAATGCCTGAAACAACTAATAGCCACTTTGCAACGAGGTGAGTGATGAACTGAGGGTAAACTCTATTTGAAATTATTCTTTTTGTATTGAATTACTTTTTTTTTTGTTTCAAAAGATGAAGATGAGGCTCTGGGATTTTGGCATTGAATGTGTACAGAGGAACATCGGAACTGAATTTCTTATTCCATTTATCAAGTTAGAGCATTTAGAATATTATTTGAGTGATTGATAGAATAATTATAAAACCAAAATAGTATTTGAATGATTGAGTTCTAGTGGAGAGGCTTCATGGGTGTGGGTGCTATTCCGGCCTTTACAACAAATGAACAGGCTTTAAGGATGCTCTCCTAACCATACACAAGTCTATGTTTCACAAGAACACTTTCTTAACACGATAATTAATTTGCTCTTGCTTTACAACCACAAATCTCACAAATACTCGATAATAAAACCAAGAGAGAATCCTTTATTGGATTTAATGTGATAGTTACAACTCAAAAAGATTCACATTAGAAAACAGATGTCCAGATTCTCTCAAGAAATATTTGAACCTCCATGGGCTTCACTGCTTCTCTCAGCCAACTTGTTATTGCCCGACAAGCTCCTTCACCTCCACATGCTGAATACTAAGCATTTCCATCGCAATGCCCTTGTTCTTGCCATAAGAGGGTTTCCCAAGTCTATCAGTCCTGGATATCAGTCCCGGGATACATATGGAGCAGCCATCATATGTGTAGATTAACTGCTCCTTGAAAGGGTGTCAATGGGCCGGTTTTGGATTGGACCCCGTCCAGTCCAAAATCAATTTGGACGGATTGGATGGACCAAAAAGACATATTGGATTGGACCAATCTGGTCCAAAATATTTATTAGATTGAATTGGACCTGGTCTGTCGGTAACAAATTTATATTGGATTGGGTTGGATTAAGCCAATATCTGGTCCATTGATATAAGATAAGAATATATGTGTCAATCATTATGCAACAAGAAAACTGATAATTGCAATGATATTCTATTATTAAATGAAATAAATATACACAAGTTTCATCTCAAACAACTTAAGCTAGTAGTTCCTCCTAAACAAGCCGACAGCTTAAAAAAAAAGGAAATTAAAATTTTAGTAGCCCTTGGGTTGAATTGGGCTTACAGTTGTGTCAAAATGCCTTTGATTGAAACATATTTCATTATGATAATAAATTGGCAATTATATAACTTAAGGTTCTTGCATCTTAACCCTCAATGAGCTTAGAAGAGTATTGATGCTTAAGACTTAACTAATAGAATGTTACTAATTTCTCTTAATATCCTCCATTGTAGCATTAAATTTTGTGACTTAAACATTTGAGCAAGCATTTTATTATTATATGTCCATGTTAAGTGATTGTTGGTCAATAGGTATTCATGCTAGTTTAGCTAGCATTTGAATTTGTCTTTATTGTCTTAATGGCCAAAAATTTGAACATGTGATCTTTTGTGATATGAAACAACTCCATTTTTTGAATTTATTTTATTTTTAATTAAGGTCATGTTTATTATTCACAATAACAAAATTAAGCCTAGTGGGTTTGATAGCAGGATGGCAACAGAGTTAGATAGTGAAGAAGTCAAACTAGGTCTCGATAGTGTGTAGTGGACTGATGCTGAGGAAGAAACTTTTATTAATCTAATGGTGGAACAAGTTAGGGCAAACAACAGGCCAACATCTTTTTTTTTTTTTAATGTGGAAGGGTGGAAGTACATCTGTGAGAAATTTAATCAGAAACATAACAAGAGTTCTGTTCATGTTTAGTTCAAAAACAAATATAATGCACTTAGACAGTGTCGGTAGTGGTACTTAACCCTCCTTAACCACACAGGTGTAACTGTAGATCCATTGACAAAAAATCCAACCGCAAATGAAGAAGTCTAGCAAAGCCTGATGAAGGTATTTTTGCCTTAAACCCACTCATTTGTTTTAGTTTAAAATTGTACAAAACCTAATCAACTCATCATATTGTGTAGACTCATTTTTGGGCACGATCATTTTGGACACAAGTTTATTGTCATTGGGATGGGTCAGAATACATTTATAGAGGAACACAACCAACCAGGGACATGGGATACTCACTTGAAATGGGTCTTGATGATCATGTCCCTATTTTAGTTAGTCCACCACTAGTTATCATGTTAGATGATCAAGGGACACCAACAACTGGGGAATCTCTCTCCAGTCCCTACACTGTTGAACCCAATGATGATGTATTAGAGATGCTTGACCGTAAGAGGAGAATTGGCAAATAACCTACTAGCATGAAGAAAGGGAAGAAACAACGGCTTCCGCTTGCACTTGATTTAATGATTAAGTCATGAGTAGAGTCCAATAAAAAGAGACTTGAAATCTTAGAGAAGGAAAGTTCACGAGATCTTGATAAGTAGCATGAAATGAAAATGGAGAAGGAAATTGTAGTACAAAGGGAAACAATGATAGAAATAGAAAGGGCAAAGGTTCGAGAAATGAAGAAGAAAAGAACCAAGGGATAGATTTGACAAGGCTCGTGAGAAGGAGCAAATAGAGGAATGTATTGAAATCCTTAATTCCATATTTCAGGTTGAGAAATTATCTCCAGATTGCTATTTTAAGGTAACCAAGTTGTTTGTGGAAGAGAAATGGAGGAACACTTTCCTTGCTATTCCTCTAGGGATTAGGAGTTTTTGGCTCAATGGATTGGATTATGAGCCACCGAACCCATGATTTATTGAAGACATTTTTTTTTGTGCTTGGTTGACTTTGAACACCTTTTAGACTAATGGTTTCTTTTTTTATTTTATTGTAGTAATGGGTGATGACCTCTTATGCTTACATGCACTCCCATTTGTTTTGGATGATGACACACTTTTGTTACATGTTAGTATTTACATGATTATAGGCTAGTTGTAACCATGGTGTGCAATGCTTATTTTGATTTCATTACTTATAATGTTGTAGTTTGTCATACAACAATATTCTATGGATCCTCATCAGTATCGACGAAAAAGGCATATTATTGATTCATACTCAAACGACAATGAAATGATAAACTTCATTATGACTTCTTGCATATTACACTTATATTGTTCACAAACAAAAAGGTAGCGTTGCATGACTTTTTCTTTGACTGGACATACTTATATGTGGACGGAAGTCCTCATTGACTTAGAACACGCAGATAGATGGACATGGTTAGAGACCGAATTGCTTTTGAGCAATGGAACAGGTATCAAAGGTCTACCCGATGGTTTACATAAATTTGTGGGTTATGCCTAGGGGTGTCAGCGGTATTCGAAAATCCGATTTTGAATTCGAAATTCAGCATAATCGAATCAAATTCGGATAATTTGAATATCTAATCGGTCGAATTCAGATATTCTATTCATACTGAATAGCTAGTCGGATTCGAATTCAGATGACCTGATTCGATTCGATAAATATTCAAATTCGATCGATTATTTAATTCTTATATATAATATATACATTTTTTAAATGTTTTATATAATTTATATATATAATAAATAAATTATATAAATAATTTATATAAATAAAACATTTATTAATTACCTAAAATAATTAATTAGTCGAATTTGAACCAAATCGAATATTTAATCGGATTCGTATTTGAATATTAATTTTCAATATCTGTCGAATATTGAATCAAATTTGGATATCAAAATTTTTAATTGGATTCGAATTTGGATATTGCCTAATCCGATTCAAATTCCATCCATTTACACCCCTAATTATGCCAAAACATGTGAAACATAATGTTAGGATTCAGACCATGAAGATGTTGGAATTCAAACTATGATGGTGTTTATGTTCATTATTGGATGTTTACTATGCAAGTTATTTATGCAGAAATGACTGATGAGATGTTTTTACCTAACTGTTATTGTCGTAAAGGAGAGATGATACTACATACGGTAAGGATGAAAACTAATTATGGGCGATGATTTTTACGTTGTCCAGTTAGGGGTAGCCATAGGGGTTCATTCGTATGGATAGATGAATATGATGGAATCTGTCGTAGAGCACCTAGGGCTGAAGTTATCCAACAGTTTATCTACCATACAACTACAACAAAACAATATATAATTTGCACTCATTGCTTGTTGTGGTTGTAACATCATTTTTCCTTTGATTTGGGTTTGACTAATGGAGCCACTTTTAGACATTATTAGCATTTCCTTATTGCATTATCTATATTTTCTTTTTAAAGCATTTAACTTTTGCTATTTTTTTTTTCTAAATTCATCGTCTATTCAAGAACAAAATAGTTTGGAACTTCTGTAAACTTAGTTAAATTGGTGCTCATACAACTTTAATCTTGTTCTTTTATTCATTTATCTACTGGACAGGAATTTTGTTTTGGTTTTTCTTGCTTGACCATTGTGAAAGGAAAGGAAAGTGCTTTCTTAATATTGAAGTTGAAGCCATCTTTGGTCTTTCTTTGCCCACATCAATTAAATACATGGGTAAAGGTATCATCTAATCTAGTATATGTAAAATGGAAAAAAATGTGGGAAAATATTGTCCAAATGGAATGATAAAGGGAAAATATCATCTTTCCAGATTTCACCTTATAACGAAAATCCACTAAATTTTTACAATGCCATGGATGTGTATTGCCCAGATGAAACACTAAAGCCAAAATATTAACTTACAAACTATTAGGCCCAGTAGATGATATTAGGAATTGGGCCTAATAGATGATTATTTGAAAATTAAATATGGTTTTATTATGTGCAAAAGTTTTTTTATTGGACCACTCACAGCCATTGGATATAATGCCATTATTCATGCTGAGGTTGTGGATCTAATCCAACAGTAATTTCAATCGTTGGATTTAATATTTTAGGCCAGATGTTATAAATCAATCGTCTAATTAATTTGAACCATTTGAAGCATCATTGTATAATATGATATAATATTAGCGCTCACCATCATACAGAGTAATGTGTGCACATACATGAAAAACGATGATAATAGTCACCTTACCAAACAACATTTACGCTTGAAAAGCATTGTTTACTACCTATGTGGCAGAAACACTATTAAACATAAGATGGTGTTTATTTGTGAAGAACGGGTTAGCAGGCATGGGCGGTTTTTTTTTTTTTGAAAATCAATCCCAAAAATTGCCCACGCTACCAAACACATACATATGTATATGTGTATAAATATACATATCTAAAACATATTTATACATTATTTGACTCGTGACCCAGAGGCAAAAATGGTTTGGCCTTCGGGCCGGTTTTTAAAACATAAATGGTTTTTTTAAGGAAACCAGTTCAATGGTAAAACGGATGTGGAATTCTATTTGGGTGATGAACCACCTAGTCTAATTAATCAATTTGACTGGGTTAAAAACACTATAAATGAACTTGAGCCCAACTAGGGATGGCAATTTCGTGGGAATTTTCGGGTATCTGACCCATCCGAACCCTAATAGGACCTGTTTATCAAAACCATATAGGGTTTGGAATTTTAGATTAAAACCCTATAGGGTTTGTGTTTTGCCTTTAGAGTATCCGATACCCGGGATGCATAAATATGAACCTATTATATTATATATCATGCACAAATTTATAAATTTTAAGTACTAAGATAATTATTCTATTATTAATATTTTATTTGTATAAATTTCTTGGGATTAAAATCATCATTTGATTTAAATTTGGATTTGATAGATTGTTTATTTCATTTAGTTATAAAATGCTAATTTTAAATATTATTTCTCTTAAGCAAAAGTGATGAAAAGGATATACTGAGTATCAACCACATGGTAATAAATCGTAAAAAAATATAATTTTATGAAAATTTTGGAAAATTTATTACATTTGTGTAATTTTGAAAACTTATTCAATTTTTTTTTAAAATTGTTTTTAAATAAATTATTTTCTTTTTAAATGGTTTACTTACAGAATTACACTAATTTATCTTATATTTTCTAATACAAACTAAGCAAAAATTTCATTTTTTCCCAATATTATACTAATTTATCTTAATAACTTGTGTAATTATTGGTTCAAATTATAGTTTTCCCCTTTCCATACTCATTTATCTTTAATAATTTTCAATAATTTATAATGAACAGTATATAAATTTTTAATAGTTTTCCAAAATCTATAAAATGTAATAAATTTTCCTAAAATTTCCAAAATATTCCAATAATTTTCAGTAATTATTTAATACATTTTAAAATTGTATTACGTGTTTATTTTTAGTAAGTAGTTTACTAACAAAATTACACTAATTTATTTTTTATTTTCCAATATAAATTAATTAATAATTTTATTTTCTAACATTATAATATTTTATTCCCCTATTTGCATTCAGTTATTAACTATAATAATAGTAATAACTAAAATTTTATACTTTTTGGTAATTGTTAAAATTCTCACTTCTCAATTTTATAAAAATTAGTTAAAGAGTTTTGAATTTCTATAAAATGTGGTTAATTAACATGAATATAACATTATTTACCCAAAATGCTTTAAAATGTCATGATGGGTTAATTAATAACAATATTTATTAACTTTTGGTAATTTACCATAATAATAAGAATATTTAATTGTTAGTAACTTACTAACCGTATTTATTAACTTTTGGTAATAACAATATTTAATACTCATTGAATATGAGTTGATTACACTCTACCCTTAGGCTCAGTTTGGAAGGAGTACAAATGCAAATATATAGAGTCCAAAATTTTATGTTTTGTATGTAATTGTACTGTACATATTTGCATTTGTATTCTTTCCAAATTGAGCCTTAGGAGTGAGTATAAATACAAATTTGTATAGTGCAAAACCTTATATTTTGCATTATTTTGTATTTGTACTGTACATATTTATATTTGTACTCCTTCCAAATGAAGCCTTATGTACAATTATCGATCTTAATAAACTAGAGCTGCCCCACTGATAATGCAAGTATTTTTTTGAAGGACAAAGCAGAAAAAAATTATTACTGATAATGCAAGTATTTATTTTTGGAGGGATAAAACATAAAAAATTATTAAAAGAAAAAAGGTAGAATTTACAATGCAAGTAGCCAATAGAATGGCTCAAAAAAAAAACTCTACAACGGAGACAAAACAAAAACTACAACCACACACAACACAAGGCAAACAACACTACTTCCGACCTAAAACAAAACAAAAGCACCACCGCATGCCCCAAACCGGGGAACACCAGCCAAACTCGAGAACAAAGCTCTAAAGAACATAGGATGATCTTATCAACTGAAGGGTCCAAACAACAATCGAGTCCATCATGCACGACTAGCGATTGACCTGTCCCCTCCTTCCTCTCCCTCTACCCCTTACCGACTTCTTCCGTCTCAAATCAGCTGCCACGGCCGCAATTTTATGCAATGCAAATATGCAACTCATGACCATTAATTAGGCTGTGTTTGTTTAATTTATCAGTTTGGGATTGATATATAGGAATATAACATATATGGCATACCCATACATTAATGGGCTTAAGCTAGCTTTTCTGTAGTATGTTAAACTAAGCTCTTGAGATTTGAGAATGCTTAACCATTAATCTATTAATTTGCATGCAACAAAACAATAAATTAAAAAGGTAGAAACTTGATTTTCAGCTCACTGTCTCTCAATCTGTTATGTTGTCCATTCTTTGTAACCTTAATTTGAATATCTCAAGTTATCATCATCATGATGGTCATGGATATTCATTCCTTCAAAAAATTGTTTCGGGAGCAATCTATCCGATACCAGTTATGAGAATGACACCTCAACGGTTGTAATTAATTCCTTGAAGTATGAATGGTCATTGGTCAACCATATGCATGAATCATGCTGGGCCCAACACCTAACGGATCCCATCATCGTCTACTACAACTGATTGGGATTGGATGGCTGCAGGGATCATTAATTCAATCAGATAGGTCGTTGGTCTATTTTGGTTTCTTTGAGTGTGAGAATTGATTTCTTATCATTTGTTGTCATCTCCTCTATGCCAATGCTAGCTAGCAATTAATCCACTCAAAAATTAAACCGATACAATTAATATGAACTGTTGTTAACACTAGCTGCAAGCAAATTTGAATGGTGATATTGACTGCTTAATTGAAATACTGGCTAGATCGACTAAGACGTCATCACTTGACTTGACTTTTGTTGTTTGGTCTTATATCTGTAGATGAAACGAAGATAAACCAGTCAAGATTCATTCACGAGGCTCAACGATTTACCGGTGCTGACAGCTTTCGTAATGCCACGTGGATGGATGTGTCGATCGAAAGCCGGCTTTCCTATTTGGTCTAAGCTATTAGCTAGCTAAAACGATCGAGACCAGCCAGCTCTTATTAACGTTCGATCAACGGATTCTTGACAGTTGGCAATTCCTTAGCTGCGAACCTTTACGAATTATTATTAGAAAAGGATAGAGAATATAAAAAACTATAAATGTGCAAACTTTGTTTCTGTAATTTATCGCTTTTTATATGAAAAGAGATTATCTTGATTGAACCTCTAAGAACATTTTCTGATTCTAAAATTAGTGCACTATGTATGCACAAAGTCAATTAATGTAAACGAAGTAAATTCCTAGGCTAGATTTGTCACCTTCTATGTTCGTTCATTATCTTGAGCTGATCCGGATCGGAACCCAGTGGGTGTCGATATCGGTCCAACTCCGAACCATAATCAGGAATCTCGCCTTGGCCAGCCCTTGACGCCTTGTACTACTCCCTCTCTAATAATCTAATATTGCCAAATCATCTTGTATCCAGTTGAAGAATTGAAGCCAAACCATCTCTCCGTGGCCATTTTCAATCTACTGTCGTTCACCTCGCAGAACTTGTTAGCCCACCCTTGCGGCTCGATGGCTGCAAACCCTAGTCCCGGGGTCCTATCTTTGGACTGGGGGTTCATTGCTTGCTTCCAATCGACGACGTAAGCCGAGACTCTCCGGCGAAACTTGGCCTTGAATTCCGACCACGCTTGGTACTTGTAGTGATTCACCACCCCTTGTTCGTTTGTCAATGCCTTCACCCTGTACCCTTCCTTCAACTGAAAATGATGTATTACATTGAGTAAACTCTCGTCGACTGCTTCTAACAACACTATCGACTTGTGCCGCTGTTCTCCGTTTGTTCGACAGGTGTAACCTTGAGTCACTCCCTGGATGGGGTGGGAGCTTTGGTTAGAAGGCCCAAATTCCAAGCACTTGATCATAATTTCCCCAACCCGACGATCCGACTCTAACTGATCAATCCAAACCTCCGACGATGACCATGGCGATGATGATGTTGATGGCAGAAGAGACTTCAGCATCTGGTTCGATGGATACGGCGACGAAAGCCAAGACGGAGAATAGACGAATTCATCCACATCCACATACATCATCCATGTACAAGAATCTTTGGCATACACTGCACAATGCGAGAAGCCGGCCTCCTGCGTCTTGGACCAAGGCCAAAATAAAGTTTTCACGTTGTATTGTTCCTGGACCAATTCTTCCACCACATCTTCCAACCCGTCGTCGCTACCGTTATCGTACAGTATGAACTTCTCCACCCCAAGCTTGGAATGATAAATCACCCATTCTTTCAAGAACTTGGCCACGTTGTACACCATTGTACATGCGCACAATAGTGATTTCTCCTCCCCGATAAGCATTTGCGGGGTCGACTGATAATACGCCACCGACGGCACCACTCCCTTCTCTTCTCCAACTTCCAGTGTCACCTTGATTTTCTCTTCACTTCTAGGAAACAGACGGATAAGCGGTCCCTCGTAAGGGCGGCGACACCGGAACACCTCCTGAAAAGAGCTTGTAACTTCAGTTCTGACACCATTGGTCACGTCGTTGCCGAACACGCACCGGAGCTCCGAAGGGGATCGGTTACGGCCTTGACGCTGGTTAACTCCTTTGACGAACAATATAACGTCATCCTCCGTCGAGAGGGATTCGTATGTAATAAGGTTCCATCGAAGCAATTCAGGTGATTCTGAATCGTTTCCTGGCCAATATTTCAGCGATCTCGTCAGGATAGGCTGGTAAAACGGACGTAGGCGACGGACACTGTTTGGAAGAATGCACTTGAACGTCTTGAGGTGATGAAACGGCAGCAATCCGGCTGGCTTAGCCGGAGTTTTCGCGTTATTTTGGAAAAGGCAGAAGTAATCGTCTCTGGTATCCGAAGACAAATGATTAACCAGAGGCGAGAGGACGAGGAGAACCTCCCAGTCTGGCATTAGGATCGCATCTGGCGAAAATTCATTGAGAGAATAGACGCGACGATTGCGGTTGCGTTTATCTTCGACGATTGCTAAATTCATGTAAACATTATTGAACCGCTTTCTGACGGCGTCCAGCGATGGACGTGCTTCTTCACTGTAAAAGAAAACGCGTCGTGAGAGATAGAAAGAGAAAGAAGTAAAAAGGACGACGAAGACGAAGTTAGAGAGAAGTGTTGTACGGATCTTCCGGCGCATAGTTGCCGGCCGACAGAGAGAGATGAGAAATGGAGGAGATGTGGAAAGGATTGAAGGGAGCAAGAGAATAGAGATGCGGGTGGTAAGACATTGGGGTTTTGTCTCTCGCGGGGAGAAAGGATCCCACAGACAGATATTCCTTAAATTTCTTCCTTTTTTTAAGAAAAAAGTTTATTTTTGTATATATTTTTATTAAGGAATGTAGGTCTGATACTCTTCTGATCCGGTAACGGCTTCATCCATCGGCAGGAGTGAGATCGAAAGAAACAAACTGGCCAAAAGAAGGATTTTTTTCTCATTTCCCCGCTGCAGCAGCACGCAATTACGCTGACCTCACCGGCGGCTTAAAAATAATTAATGAAGGACCATTAGCCTATTGGTCCACGTGAAAAGGTCAAAACCAAAATGAATTGAGGCGTATCTCCTCCGGTGGTTTCTAGCGTTACTCGGTGCCCCAATCTAGGAATAATTCAATGGCTTCTGTCAAAATGGAACGCCAAAACCGTTGATTCACGGAGACCGGATCTGCTCCTCACACCGATCTCACATAACATATTCTATGAGATCGGTGTGAGGCGCTTTATGTCAGCAGCAGATTCCAATTCTAATTCACGAGTCACGAGTCACGACCCTTCTATTCATGGATTGATCGAGAAACGTAAAAACTAAAATAATAATTAATAAATGTGAAGTTTCCGAAACGGTAATTATAAAAAAATAAGAGAGTTTCCGAAACGGAGATGTGGTTGATTGATTATGACTAATTAAGAAAGAATCAAGGGGGAAAGATTTCTGAGTTCTGACCGGTGGCCAATCAACCGGCATAGAAGAAGTGGTAAGTGTTAACCAATCGGTGATATTTATCGAAATTCGCGGTCTGGTTTTGATTGGTGAAAATCTCCTCCGGTATCATATCTTTACGGCGGCATAAATTTTTCCTCATTGGAATTGGGAAAGAATCGTCAGAAATCATCGGAGTGGAAGGAGTTTAAGAGAAGAATTCGAGGATAGGAAAATGAGATAGAGATAGATAAGGCGGAATTGAAGGTGCCAGGACTTTACCTTGACCCATGAGCCATGAGATGAGACTATGTATCAATGTATCACCATCTCAAATTCTAAGCCATAGATAGCAGTAGTCCTTTCTCTCTTGACCATCTTTTTCAATCAGAATAGTGTTTACAAAGTATTGTTTATTGTATTTTTTTAACACATAAGGCTCAGTTTGGAAATATTATATAGTGTAAAACCTTATATATCCCCAACCCAGGTGTAAATGGGATTTGATCATAAATATTCATTAGGACCAGCAGGAAATCTTACCAACCAGTTGATGGGCACCTTACACTTTACAGCAAGGTTCAACCAGACGTATTGGCCTATTGGGTATATTGCATCGGATTTTAGGGGTCATCGATATGCTAAATTCTGAGTTAGAACGTTTGGCCACTTTTGAAAGATAATACCTCGCCCTAGAAATGTCTTGGCTCAATTTTCAAAAGTTACATAGTATATCACCCCTTTGAATCATGCAATAATACACAATTTTTGGATAAGCCTAGTGAAAATAATCACTATCGGGGGAAACGCCAAAATAAAGCTTCTCCCAGACCCCAACACCCCCACGCAACCCTATGCACATGAGACTGTGCCAAGGGTGTGGCACAAAGTCATAAACATTTAAAATTGAATCTATCCAACCAAACATGATTTGGGTACTATAAATCCATGATATTGACATTAAGAGTATACTAAATGGCAATGCAATACCATGGTCCCAAATATATATTGCAGTGTATACAATGTTGTAAATTTTTTCTTGAGATTTTATTTAACTATTTACTATTCTAATGCGGCTTTGGCCTGCATAGAGCAAGGTGCACATGGATGGAAAATTTCCCTTACTTAAATATTTAGGGCATATTTTTGTCTTCTTTAAATAAAAAAAAAAAAATGAGTGTCCATTTGGTTTGCAGTGTGAATCGAAATGACTAAAGTTGGAATCAAGTAGAATGTGATTTCCTTCTCAAGGGAGGAAAGGGAAATGACCATTTTCTTAAATTAATGGAGGAATGTCATTCCACCAGGAATGGGAATTGAATATTGAAATTAGAATCTATCATTCTATTCAGATTCCAAAACCCTATTCCTGCAAATCAAATGGGCTCTCGATATTTTGCATTATTCATCATTTAGGTAAAAAAAAAACAAATTAATTATTATAACAATCCAACTATTAAAATAATTTCCTTAAATTATATATTAATCTAGTCGATCCTAGGTATATACCCGTTAAGAGATTTTCTTTTCTACTTTAACAACCAACCTACAGTTTGTTTACTTGTTATTGGAATAAGGAAAGATAAATTTATGTTAGATATTCAAGTATTCAAAATAGCATTTAGCTTTAGCTTAGTTAATATTGGAGAAAACTGGAAAGCTGTTCTAGAAAGGTTTGCTTGCAAATCATATGATCCCTTAGGCTCTATTTGTTTGAAGTGAAAATCTGAACTAGATACAAAATTAGCACCCAATTCAGTTTGCATCCGCTTGTTTGTAAATATGACTTGCACTCTTATCTGATGCAAAATCTATATTTATTCTTATTTGTACTTTTTTGTAATGCATATTTGCACAACCTTCCTCTTACCTCAATTCTTTCACATATAAAATGAGGACCACATTATCTTGCTTCCTACCTCATTTCTAAACAAATGACTCTCCTCCAAAGATTCTGGATCTCCTACCCATAAGAACTCTATCTACACCTACCCACAAAACACTATCTTCGTGCATTGGGAATATCTCCCCATACATAATATGTAAGTGCATGAGATGTTCCCCATGTGTGTCTATGATCTCATGTGGGTAGGAGATCCGTATTCAAAGTGAATGGTGGCCCACTATATATATCTAGAATTTTATCTCAGTGTAAATATGCTTATGATCTTCCTCAACTTACCAAGTTGTTTGATGTGAAGCTTGCACCACACCAAATGGCCTCCACCCTCAAACTTTAAATTCTACCTTAGATTCAAAGTTTATTGATGATGCTACTCTATTTCAGAGCACAGTTGGTGTTCTCGAGTATTTGACCATAACTTTGCCCATATCTCTCATTTGTTCTTTAACAAGATCTCGATATTTCACTAGTTTGCTATCAAGTGCATCTTGCATTATGTAAAAAACACCTTATCCCAAGGTTTAAAATATTGATACAATATATCGACACGCTATTAATACCTTAAATACATAGGGTTTGGAATCCTAGTCATTTTCAGGGGGTAAGCAAGCCTAAAACCGATCCTGAACAATTTTGGATAAAAAAAAAAAAAATTTGTGGTATCAAAAGACCCGATATGCATGTCCGTGGGAACTTTATTTCACTAAATTTGACTATACTCAATTACATGGGCTATCCGATTCAAATTGGGCTAAATGTCTTTGATGTTGTCCGATTTGAGGTGTTTTGAACCGAGGACACAATCAGATGAGGCCGAGGTGGAAGAATGAACCCGCACACCGAGATCTGCAGCCTAGAGAAAGGTCAGAGGCCCAAGGAGTTGTTTCCCAGGTAGGTACTCCAATGCTCAAGTAAGTGGGATCGAAAAGGATGTGGTCAGGTCGAGTAGGTTGAAATAGCACTGGTCCGGGCTGAAGAGATAGTGCAAAGAGGTATTCAAAGAGTACAGTTCCAAAAGTCCCTTACCTTGAGCAGGGAATACCTATTTATAGTTGAGCATCCGTGTCCTGGATGTATAGGGCTTCCGGGGTTGTCGAGATGAGGGCATCCACCAAGGTCTTTGGGAGGTTTCCTTTTCCCCAGTGGAGTTCGCTTTCTTGTCCATGTGGGACACTCTTTCTTAGTCGTGCTCTTCCGTTACATGTGGCATCGTTGTGGCTTGAGAGGGGAGCGGTTGCAGAGAGCCACGTGGCATTCTTGGCCAGTTCAACCATCACCCGAACAATCTTGATGACTGGGGCTCTTGCGGTGGCAATTAAGCATGTGTGTTGCATGTGAGAAATTTTTTCTTCATATTAATTACTTGAATTTTAGATACATCGTAGTTAAGATAGAAATTGAAAATTAACAAAAGTAACAATATGATTAAAACTAAACTTAAATGCTTGTTGTAAATGTGCACATGCATTGCACGTGGAAATTTTAGAGGAAGTTTTTATATTTTCTTTATTTTTATGTCATCCAAAAAATAAAAAAAAACAAAGACATGTTCTTGAACTATATTTGGTTATGAGAAGAAAAACAAGTTAGGTTTAATTCCCGATTAGTACCGTGTACTTTGGGCCTAGTGCCACTTTGGTCCCCGAACTTTAAAATGCAACAATTTAATACCCTAACTTTCAAAACATGACAATCCAATACCTATTGTTAACTAGTTGTTAACCAGCCGTTAAGTGGCATTTGAAAAAGACACAAATGCCCATTGAGTGTCATCTAAATTTCTTGATCAACCATCCAAACATTGACAAAAAATTAACAATCTCAAATCCTTATCTCTTCTATTCAAGAAAGTTGGGGTCACCGGAATGCCCACTCAAACGTGACCCCAACTTTCTTGAATGAAAAAAGGCAAGGATTTGGGACTATTAATTTTTTGTCAACGTTTAGATGGTTGATAAAGAAAATTAAATAACACTTAAAGAGCATTTGTGTCTTTTTCAAATGCCACTTAACGACTGGTTAATTGCTAGTTAACGACAAGTACTGGATTGTCATGTTTTAAAAGTTTGGGTACTGAATTGTCGTATTTTAAAGTTCGAGGACCAAAGTGACACTAAGCCTAAAGTACAAGGTAATAATAAGGAATTTTCCCTATTTTTAAGACAAAATTTGGAGTACAGATATTGTTTGATTTATGAAAGAGCTCGAGCTTAAGGTTTTAGCTTGAGCCTCATACTATTCGGCTCAGCTCAACTCGAATCCACCATGGATGATACACACGTAAAACGACTCGAGCTCGATTTGAGAAAAATATTTTATAAAAATTAAAAATTATATATAAAAATAATTTTTATTTGATATTTAAAAAAATAAGAATTATAATATTTTTATTACATATATTATTTTCTATAATTATAATATTATATATATATATATATATTCATGAAGAGCTCGGCTCATGGCCACCCTTAAT